TTGACAAAGATTTCTCAATTTTTCTTTGTGGTACGAGACCGCGGGGATTTTTATAAACTTTCAACCCCGAAGAAACGTCTATGAAAGCGAAGACCATTTCATACGTGAATAAGTAAACTATAAATCCGATCGCATCGAGAGAAGCTCGTCTGTGCTGCATCAACCCTTTGTTTTACGATTTAATTTCCAATAGCGCGTGCCATAAACGACAACAAGGTCGGTCACACGTCGGACCATTCACGGTTTGGCTGAGCGTTCGAAGTTGTGCGAATCGCAGACGTCTTATGATTTTTATATACATGTGTACGGTGCAGTTAACTTTGCGTTGCAAGATGTCCGATAAATAATTACGATCGATTGATCAACGAACAAGAAAGATTTACTGTCTCAAATTATTGATAATATTATTAATGACATTTTTATTTTAATTTATGAATAAACAGATATTTATGAATATCATTGTCTTAATAAAATTGACAAAAATTTAATAATCTTCGATCGTATGTATGATATTCTTCGTCTGTTATTTTCAGAGCTTATTACTTGTTCCGCGTATCGATTCGTCTCCGTTACAATATTCTCCAAAAATACGCTATTAAATATTATATTAAAAGCGTCTGTTTCCTTTTTGCTTGTATTCAAGTGATCTAAAGTTGCCTCTTTTATTCGCGGAAGCTCCAGTATACTTCCAGATTTTCGGTTGATCATCTTTTTCCTTCCAAATCCACAACTCTGATTGTTGATAATAATCTNCCGGGTAATTGCTTTTTTCCAGTCGCGCCTCGGATCGTCCTGTTCTTTGTCCTTTCCTGCTCGTACCGGCCGCAGAAAGAACAAGTCATTTGCCAGTGGCCGACTTGCGCGGCCCCACGAAAAAGAGAATCGAATCCGGCATTTTTATCCGGCGATCTTCCGCCTTATAAATCATCCTCGAGTGCGAGTAATTGAAAACACACGTTTCCTTTTTTGCACCAATGAATCTGGCCGCTGAGCATAATTTTCTTAGCTACTATTGTTTAGATACGTTTCTTCGGCGTCGTCTTTTAATGCAGCACCGATGAGCGTCCCTCGATGCGCTCGGATTTATAGTTTACTTATTCACGGATGAAACGGTCTGTGCTTTTATAGACGTTTCTTCGGGGTTGAAAGCTTGATAACCTCCGTGGTCTTGTACCGTAAAGAAACATTGAGAAATCTTTAACTGACACGGTACAAGAACACGGATTGACAAAGATTTCTCAATTTTTCTTCGTGGTACGAGACCGCGGGGATTTTTATAAACTTTCAACCCCGAAGAAACGTCTATGAAAGCGAAGACCATTTCATACGTGAATAAGTAAACTATAAATCCGATCGCATCGAGAGAAGCTCGTCTGTGCTGCATCAACCCTTTGTTTTACGATTTAATTTCCAATAGCGCGTGCCATAAACGACAACAAGGTCGGTCACACGTCGGACCATTCACGGTTTGGCTGAGCGTTCGAAGTTGTGCGAATCGCAGACGTCTTATGATTTTTATATACATGTGTACGGTGCAGTTAACTTTGCGTTGCAAGATGTCCGATAAATAATTACGATCGATTGATCAACGAACAAGAAAGATTTACTGTCTCAAATTATTGATAATATTATTAATGACATTTTTATTTTAATTTATGAATAAACAGATATTTATGAATATCATTGTCTTAATAAAATTGACAAAAATTTAATAATCTTCGATCGTATGTATGATATTCTTCGTCTGTTATTTTCAGAGCTTATTACTTGTTCCGCGTATCGATTCGTCTCCGTTACAATATTCTCCAAAAATACGCTATTAAATATTATATTAAAAGCGTCTGTTTCCTTTTTGCTTGTATTCAAGTGATCTAAAGTTGCCTCTTTTATTCGCGGAAGCTCCAGTATACTTCCAGATTTTCGGTTGATCATCTTTTTCCTTCCAAATCCACAACTCTGATTGTTGATAATAATCTGCATCATCGGTATCATCTTCAATCACCAATTGCTTATAACGTTTTCGTAAAATAAGTAAAACATCGCTATCACTGTCACTATTACTATCTAAAGCACCTGTGAAATCATTGTTGGCGATGTTATCACTGTCCTCACGTGTCTCGCTGTCCTCTTCAACGCTCATTTCTCGTTTCGAATACATTGTGAAGGGTACTTCTACAATTTCCCTTAAAAAGTAAGTCTGCAGTTACGAATGCGGTAAAGAAAACTGAGCGAATATCGTGCGCGTAGCGCAATCAGCTCTACAACGTCTCTGAGACGTTTTATTCGCACTTGGCACGGCCAAATGTAACGTCTCTGACACGTATTGTCGATGTATGTCCCGGTCAGTATATCGCGTCTCTGATACGACTTGTTTATGCTTGACCCGGTCGACTTGCCACGTCTCTGACACGACACTGTAAGCTAAGGGGTTAAAAGACCACTTAGACCTCGACTAAGGAAAGAATGTTCTGCAACCAGGTCCATTGGGACAAGAAAGGAAAGTGATGTTTTCAATTACTCGCATTGGAGGATGGGGTTATCTAGATGAGGTTCTCCTCGCTTCGAAGTAATTAAAAAATAGTGTTACTATTATTATTATTGTCTGTCGAAGAGCTTCGAGAATGTTAGGATCGTTTTATCAATGGCGCTGATCACCGATTTAGCTGGAAGTTAGCAAGGCTGCAGAACGGAATGCCGGCTATTGGTCAGTTTCCCGCCAAAAACCGTCTAGATCCTCGAAGTTCAGTGTATCTCGCATGCCAGCTCGCAGTTCGAGGCGCATTCCACGAGTACGCAGCTCTCGTTCATTCATTGAAACACGCGGTCACGCGATCACGGATGATACTTTGGCCCGCGGAGGAGTTTTCGTGCTGCTGTCTTCCGTGCATTTGTTATCCCGTGAAAACCTAGCCAGCCGCTCCTCACCCCGCCCCCCTTCTGTCTCCCGATCCCCCTTGTTCCCGCAAGGATCTGGAACGCTCGATCGAGCGTCGCGAGAGGGCACGTCGTCGCGAGCTATCGATCGGATTTTTACGACATCAAATTTTCATAATTGCCACCGAGAGCCGTATTTAACCCCGCGGCTCGCGATAATGGAACTTAATTGCGGGGGAAAAGGGTGGTTTTTCCCCGTCCAACTGTAATTACCGCGTTTTTTTTCCTCTCCGGTATCTGGTCGATGGAATTACGGAGGCTTTTTCTTGCCCGGAAGTTGCATTAAACTCTGCGTGTTTGTATATTTTTTTCGCTCTCTCATTTCGTGTAAGATTATAACGCCGACGTTTCTACAGAGGGGGGGCTCCTGCTCCCCGATTCCTCCGTCTCGCGCAGGAGGCTATCGCGGGCCTAAAGGGTCATACTTAGCAACGGGCCCCGTTCACCGAGTCCACTTAGCAGATTCCTCGAACGTAATTTCTTGGCTCCGCCACAGTAGACTCTGCCGCATACAATTGTCCAATTGAAGAGGTGCAAATCACTTTGCATATGATCTTACTTGAATCTTGGATGTCTACAGATCTTCCTCCCCGCATTTCATATTTTGTAGAAACGTATGGCAGAAACGTATCGACACTGGCGACGATTATTTCGACGATTAAAAAGTAATTCGATCATTTATAAACGAAGACTCGTGCATCTCGTAGAACACCGACTGTCCGTACAATAGAACGGTCACCGAGTCACCGTGCTAGATTTCGTCTTCATTGAGTTGTACGTTAAATGATTCGCACTCAGATTTTGCCTAAGATCGAGATGAACCTGCGCGAAAGGCGTTCGAACGATGCAGAATTATATTAAATTGATGCGTATAAAATGTCGGATTTTTAAGCGAATATATAAAACTGCATATCTTTCTTCGAAAGCTGTTTATTTAATCAAAATATGCTCAATTTGCTTCTTCGTTGAAATGTGACTCTGGTAATGGACAGAGTACGACCATAAACGAGGTTATGCCAGAAACGAAAGCATAACGAAAACAGGAAGACAAATATTTACACGTAAAGAAAATCCGACAATTCATTTGCACCAGCCTAATAATAATACCGCAGCATATCGAGAATAATTTCCATCCCCCATGTTGGTCGCTCGCAGAGGGTGTCGCAGAAAGGGCGCGCGGAAACTGTCGCGTTTCGAAGCAACAGAAGAAACCTGGCACGGCGGTTACGACAGCTGGACGAAACAGAATTCTCGTTTAATTCCCGTTTCTTGCAACCGAGCCGCGGCCGCGGCGAAATTGAACGAGGTCTTCCTGAAAGCCGTATGACGTATTATCTCTCGCCGGAGCGGAGGCGATAAGAAAACGCCATCAGCCCGAAGGGCTGGGAGGAGTGGGGAGGAGGCAAGGGTTTCACGGAACGTAGGTGTCGAGGACGATCCCGCGTGGATTTCGGTAAAAACGGAGGGCGTCGCTGTCGGCGCGAAGGACGCTCGGACTCGGGCCTGGTCTCGGTCCAGGGCCAGGACTCGGGCCCGGTGTCGTTCCCGCCGTAAAGCTTTTACGATTACAGTTTCATTTTCATAAACGTCAGAGCGGCCGGCCTTTTTGCGCGGCCAGCCCGCGTTGGGCCCGTTCGTGTTCCCCGCTCTGCCCTTTATAGCCGCTCGCGCGGTTGTCTTTGTTCCGTTAACTTCTGTATTCGCTGGCTGTTTGCCGTAAGATAATTAGTGTTTTGCCGGGACGCGGCTCTGAGGCCAGCAAAGGCAGCGGCTGGTTTTGTCCGGGTCTTGATTTACGCGCGTTTTCGTGGACGACGGGCGACAACGACCATCGATGGACAGGTCCGAGCAGAGTCTCGGCTGCGTTTCCACGAGATCCGGCAGCCTTCTCGACTCCTTCTGCTTTCTGCAGAAGGACGAATCCTGGACGTTCGTCCTTCGTCGCTTTCTAGATAGATCGTCGTTTAGCCGGCGTTCGACGCTGTTTCGCGTCGGCACGAAGGACGCAGGACGTTCCTTGAGAACGCATTGATCGAGCGCATGAACGAGATACTCTTTTCTTGCAGCGTTTGGACATCAGAGGACGCGTCAAGATCCTCCACGGCCAGAACAGGAAGACCGAGGAACCACCCCTGGCTCTGTTCGCTCTTTGCACCCCGTTCGGGCCACCCTCCCTGCTAGAAGTCCCGCAGAAGGACGTCATGTTCAAGAGCAAACACAAGCTGGACTTGGCGTTGGTCTCCATGGACCAGCGAGGGAAGATGCTGTTAGGCTACTCGGACGCCGAGCTGGCGAACCTCGGTGGCTATGATCTAGTCCATTACGACGACTTGGCTTACGTTGCCAGCGCCCATCAAGAACGTAAGAACGTTTTAAGAGCTTTTGTTATTGTTCGAACGACGCGCGAGTTCTGTGATTCTCATCGACACTTTCGTTTGGTTGCAGTGTTGAAGACTGGCGCGTCGGGAATGATTGCCTACAGATTCCAGAAGAAAGATGGCGGCTGGCAGTGGCTGCAGACTAGTTCTAGACTGGTTTACAAGAACTCGAAACCTGACTTCGTCATCAGCACGCACAGACCTCTCATGTGAGCGTATTTTACGGGATTAAATAGGCTAGGAATTGTCTACAGAAAAGTCTCCCTAATTGACCCTCGGATTGGGCACGAAAGTGGACGATTTGGGAAAAGGAGATACGATTATTCGAGTCTTGTAGCTCGCTTTTTTTGTTATAAATTATACTATATTATTATTATTATACTATAAAAATTAATATATTAATATTATATTATAAAAACTGATATACTAATATTATAGTATAATATACTAATACACTAATTACTATACTATAAGAACTAATATACTAATATTATACTATAAAAATTAATATACTAATATTATATTACAAAAAATAATATGTTAATATTATATTATAGTATAACATACTAATATATTAATTATTATACTATAAAAACGAGCAGCAAGTCTCGAGTAATCGTATCGCTTCGTCAGACTTCTCAATTTTGGGCTATCAGTTCCCATAATTCTTTCGATCAGGTCGAAAATTGAATGTCTGAGCAGACCTAGGCTCCTTGGAATCTCCGCTGTCCGAAGATCATGCAGCCCATAACTGTCGACCAGTTGTACATTAACCCTTTGCACTCTCGAAGCCGTATTAACTGTAAATTTAAATTAACTCCTCTGACTCATGGTATTTCCATTCTAATGACAAAGTGCATTTTATGCATATGAAACTGAGCCTTGCGACTACATACAACGGTTAGACTTTTAACCATTTTTTATATCCAAGCTTCGATATTATAAAAATCATCTTGGAACGCGCTGTAACAATTTTAACGGTGCTTCAGTGTCACCACGCGAGTGCAAACGATCAACCCTTTGCACTCGAAGCCATTTTAACTCTGAATTCAAAATGATTTTTCTGACTTACGGTATTTTTATTTCTATTGATTCAAATGCATTTTATATATGTGAAATAAAATTTTGTGACTGGTATAACAATTACACTTTTAACAGTTATTCAAGTATAAACAAATTCGATAATGTTGAAATTATTTTGAAACGTTATATAACAATTTTTTAAACGGTGAGTCGAAGTCACCACGCGAGTGCAAAGGGTTAATTTCCTCCCGATCGACACTCGCTCGTCGCGCCACGACATAAAATTGCCACGATCGACCGTTTTACGAATTGAGATATCCATTGTTTCTCGTCCAGGGAGGAGGAGGGCAGGGATCTGCTGGGAAAGCGGACGATGGACTTCAAAGTGAGCTACTTGGACGCCGGCCTGACCAACAGTTACTTCTCGGACAGCGACAGCCTGACCGGCTCGGTGATGACACCGACGCTTCCGACGCAGCCGACGTCCCAGCGAGTGAACAGGCGGTACAAGACGCAGTTAAGGGACTTCCTGTCGACCTGCCGGAACAAACGTACCAAACTTTCCGCGCAGTCGTCGGTGTCGCCGCCGGTGACGCCCACGGTCGCGTCCGTGGATTATCTCGCGGCGGATACGAGCGCGGCCGCGGCGGTCGCGGCCGCTTACAGCAACTTGAACACCATGTACCCGACCCCGTACGCGCCTACGGCGGTCGCGGCCAGCACGGATCCTTCCCTGACCACGTACATCGGCCACACGGGCAATTACCATCAGACTTTATATCCGGCGACCGCGCTGGACAATAGGTACGCTTCCGATTGCTTAATGGGCCAAGGTGGCGTCTCTCCTGTATCCACCGAGCCTCCTCTAGACTCCAAGACGCGTTTCACGACACGCGTCTGCGAACGCGCTATCAAACGAGACGGTTTCCATGGCGTTTTATAGCCTTGGTCGAAATTAAAGACACGAAGCGTTCGCGTCGAGGCTGTTTAGACTTTGCGTCGAACTAACGCCACTGAACTGGACACCGCGTCGAAAAGTGCGCAAATTAGCCACTGAAAGCTTTGGGTATTCCAAAAATGTCTCGCAATCCAGAAAAGGTGGGTTCCTGAGGTCATTTGCAATAACTTTTTCCTTAACGAAAATGCAATCCGCGGCTTCGTTTACGAGTTATTTGCGAAAAACGGCGACCAATGAGAGGCGAGCTCGGGTAGCGCGGGGCGGGCCGAGCGCACGAAGCCCAGTCCCGCTCATTGACCCGGCCGCCTCGAGCCTCTCATTGGTCACCGTTTTTCGTTAATAACTCGCAAACGAAGCCACGGATTGCATTTTCGCTAAGGAGAAAATTACTTCAAATGACCTCGGGAACCCCGCATTTCCAGATTACGATACCCTTTTGGGACACCCTGTACACAGATGTCATCGAATAGATGCCGTCTCTATCCTATGGTCGTCTATGGTCGTAACGAAAGTGTCAAGAGAATCATTCTCAATCGAAATCGCGTTAGCGTCTACACCGTCTAGGTTACACCCCGCCTTGAAGAACCTCCCCCGATTCCACCGTGCTAATAGAAGTCTCCCCAATGACCCAGGTACCTCACAGCAGCCACGGAGAACCTGTTCCAGTACAGGCCACTGGGCTCCTACTACCCGGAGTACCACACGAGCACGGCGTACAACGGGTTCATCGACGTCTCCCTTCCGACCTACGAGACGCACCAGCTGACCAGCAAAGCGGAGGAGAAGCTGTACTGCCAGCAACTGGGCGAATCTCCGAAATACGGCTACGTGGAGACGAGACACCCGAGCAGCGTCAGCGGGTCGCCGTACGCGGCCAGTCCTGTCGCCAGTGCATCCGCGATGCACACCGCGACCACGGACATCAACATCGTTCGAGCCGGAAGCAGACACTCCCTGGAGGGCGGAGCCTCCTCGAGCAACTCCGCGGGGAGTTCGCCTGTAACCGGGCCGACGAACGGCGTCCTCACCCCGAAGATAGAGGACGTGAAGCCGGAGGTGTACGGGAACGAGGCGCCCAGACAGACTGTTCTGATGTGGGGCGCGCCTCCGTCCCGCACCCCTCCGAGGAACAACGGCAGCTACAGCCCCCCGACACCTCACTCGACCCACTCGTCCACGCATTCGACCAACGCGAACGCCGGCGACCCCCTAAAGTCCCTAGCCGAGATGAACTCGATGAACGGCGAGTGCAAGTGGAGGCAAACGTCGCCCAGCGAGCCCCAAACCACGGCGCCAAGCTCTCCAAGAACTAAGGCGCAACCCCAACAGCATCAGCATCATCAGCAGCAGCAACAGCAGCAACAACAACAGCAGCAGCAACAACAGCAACAACAGCAACAACAACAACAGCAACATCAGCAGTACCCGGTGACCACGTCACAGTATCAAGCGGCAGCGGCTGCCGCGGCCGCGGCCGCAGCCGCGGCGGCCAGCACTATCGGATACGCGCACTCTCATCCTGGCCATGGCCATGGGGAAGCGGGCTCCGAGGTATGGCAAGGAGTGCAACACCATCACCACTACCAGTACTATCCCTACCACCATCACCACCCCGCACCACCAAGGCACGCGCCCCAGTGAGTGTCACTGCTGCCTCACAAGTTTTTTATGGTCGATCTTAGCTACCCTCGCCGACGGGGGATCTCTTAGACCTTTTGATCGCGGTTTGAGGATCATGAGATTTGTTACTTGAACGAGAACATTGTCGAGCCGCGCATGCATGGTAGGAGTAATGCACGAGAGTTTGCCGGATTGGACCGATTGAACGTCGCAGGATGATGAAATTGTTTTCGCCGAAAGATCCGAAACTACCCTTTCGAAGAGATTATTAATCGTTGAACCGTCGACCATTATGGAAATCCGGATTTTTATAAAGCAGTTCGAGAAAACCCGAAAGAGGGGGCACGTTCAGTTTACCGACTGGGACAATATTTTCTGGTTATAAATGCCTAGTAATTGGATAATAATGATCGTGAACAATTTCGTCGTTGCGAGACGTTCGATTCGAGGGCGGTCGGTCGATCGTATGCGTTTGTGTGTTGCATGCCCGCGTTATGATTTTCCGATCGGTACTAGTTGACGCATCTTATCATTTTTGTCACTGCACAGAGAGAGAGAAGCGGTAGCTCGAGGGTATCGATGGAATTATCGACTAGTCGATTAGCTGGTTAATGTATGTGAAATAGGGCAGATCGAGTTTACTGTAATATGACAGGAGCGAACAAGGGGTTGAAAGGGGTTGCGAATAACGGGTGAACGTACTTTCGGTTGCAGCACGCCCCCGTCAGCTGTGGCAACGGGGACGGGAGTCGGCATGTCCATCGGCCCGGACAGCAACACCAACAACAACAACGTCTTGTACCATCCTCCGCACCACCACCCCCAACATCAGCACGTAGTGGGATCATCAGCGGGGGGAATGGGCCCAACTGTCCCACAGATACCAAACCGGACGCCGGGAGTCCTCTGCTGTCCATCTCTGAGGTGACTAACACCCTGCTCAACCAATAGTCTATACGTGACCTCCGCATCGCTTCGTTTTAGTGATCAAGGTGAGTTTTAATCGAACGATATTTACGAATCCTTAACGCTTTGACTGGCGAGCCAGTAGCCTCGTGTATTGTAAAAAAGTAGTTTATTAATTTATTAAGTAATTCGGTCGGTGAAATAAAATGGTTGAGGTCTGTGGTACAGACGACTCCTACAATTCTTGCATATAGAAATCATAGTTCAAAGGTATACTGAATGGATTTGTGTGAAAATTAATTTTTACTTTGATGAAGTTAGTATTGGAAAATGAATGCATTTGCATTGCAAGGAAGCTATGCAGCTTGTGCTAAGTGCACAAAGCTATTTTGCAGTTGCATTGCGATATTATATATTGTTATATTAGTTATTTACCAGTTGAGAAGCCCAGTAGTAATATATCGTGATAGAAAAAGAATAGTATAATAGTTAAAAATATAGTTAAAAAAGGTTGTTTCAATGTACAAAAATTAAGCAGATTATTCTGCTTAACCTTTCTAATTAATCAGATAATTCTGCTAGTTAAAGCATCGAACCGAAATGATTCGATTGCATGGTTTTTTAATGAAATGGAATGCTAGCATAAATGTTTCGTTGATTTGTTCCAGGTATCTCAGAGAAATTAGTTTCACCGAGGCGGATCGCAGAACGCGTGACTGTACCATACAGATAATATTGGTTAAACTGTTAAGAGTATTCCCCTCTCTCGTATAGTGCTGTAACATACTCATTACAGTTAACGTAAAAACGACGACGTTGCTACGACGTACATGTATGTATGCCTGATTATGTTAATTCGTCCGTATTGTTAAGTTGCACAGGAAAGTTCTCCGAGGGACGTGCAGAGTTTGATGTTCTTCTTGATCCGCGGACACGCGTGAAAGGTGATGATTATGGGATCCGTTGATCCCTCGATCGTGCATACCGTAGATCGACCGGTCAAGTATGATAAACGAGCACGAAAAACATTATCGAGCGAACGCGAACGTTGCTTGATCCGATCCCTAACGAAACGTCGATTCCAGAGAAAAACGCAAAAATTAAGCAATTCCGTAAAACAACCCTAATCGAACATGATCGCGCGAACGTAGAATGGTCTGTAAAATAATGTCTTCGAAGCTGTGCACACGGATTCTGTGATATACGATTAAATCTAGAGATACTAGGAACGGCTGCTCTAACAATTTCGTTTCCTCCCCTCCCTACAAAACAAAGCTGATAATTTGGGATCCATAGATCGTACTTCGGCCTCGTCCTTGGTGAAAAATAAAAGGAGACGCGCGTGAACCGAGAAGAACACAAACACGAGACAACTCTCCCGATCCGGTCGAACCCCTCAGTCTTGCCAATGCGTTTCTGTTAATAAGTTTGTAATTTTTGTACTTAATTAATTTATACGCTATTTATGTACATGTGTAGTTGACGTTTAGCGAAGCTAGACGAGCCTTCCATAATTTTAATAGGACGTGTACTATCATTTTCTGCGAACGTTGAGAGCCGTGCTCGAAGAAACGGGACGACAAGAGACAACCATAACCGGCGAGAAAACGTTTTAATTGTCGACGATGAATCGATCGATCGACACCTGCCGCGTTCGAACGAACGGACGTACGGACGACCCGAGTGATTTCAATGCTTCGAATCTTCATTAATTCTGGGGGGCTACGGGGGGGCAAGAAAGGGGAACGCCGTTTTTATCAGTTCGCGTCGAGTATACATATCAGGAATGAAAAATATAGGAAGGTTAACGACGCGTGGTCGTCCCCCTTTCTACTGCACTCTCGAGATATAAATATATATATATACATAAAAAGAGAAGAAGATTATATATATATTGTATTATTTGCTAGTAGAAATGTTTAAATCTTACGGATAGCATGATTAATGATTTGTAAGGCTACCAGCGACATCTTTTTCCTTCGAATCCACGCGTCTTTTTGATCTTTCAACTACGATTATTCTCTACTTTACCTACTTCATGTCGTTATAGTGTTATACAATATACGAAACTATTTTGCTATGATTATTTGTAAACGTTCAGTCCGCTGATTGGCTTCGCGGTAGACGCGTCGAGACTTTTTACCTGGCGTGCCCCACCGCCGCGAGTCTTTCTTTACTTTCACATCTTCTTTTTATTCAATTCGCCGTAACAACAGTCGAAGGAACGATCAACGTCTCGATTATGATTGTCTTAATATTTTTTTGCGCATTGTTGAACACTTCTGACTTGTGTTCAACGAACGGGGCACGTCGTTAACGAGTCTCGACAACTCCACATTGTAAATTTACATCTTTGTAACAGCTTGAAACTACGTTTCTTTGCAATATCGTATGAAGATCTACTATTATAAGTAATTGAGTCTAGTCCATACATAAAAAGCGAATTAATGATATCCACTATGCTTAAATTGTAACAATGTTCTCGCTGGCGCATCCACCCTGGTGACAATCTTGCTCGACGAATTTTACTTGGCACTCTGCCGACTGTACGCAAAACGCACGTCTGTGGAAACCACGTTGCCCGTGTGGTTTCATTTATTAACTTGCAAACGCGAGTAGAGGATCGTGATTTAATTACGCGGAAAATTGTTTGGGATTTGTTTTGAATGGGCTTTCCGAACGAGGTATGATTACTGTGATTTCAGGGTTGATAATCGACCACCCCCTCCCCCTTTTAATCGTTCGATCACAGTGGTGAGAATATTTTGACAGTTTAAGCATACATGTATATTTACTGTATATGTAAAGTAAGGTATCTTCTAACGAGCATAGATAAGATTAGTCTATTATACAATAGACTCCCCCATAGCTATCCACATAGATCAAAATGCGTACCTTATTTTATAACAACTGGTATCTGCAGATTACGGCCAATTCGATTGATCCTATTCGGGCCGACATCTCATCGAGGAAATAAAAATTATATCGGAATACGTAGATTTGTTGTTTCGCAACGGTGACAACGAACATTCGACACGAACGGAACCGAGAACCGCGTCGTTTTTTTTTGGAAGTGTAACAATAAACGGGACGATGCCGTATTTGATCGCAGGGATGTTCATTGAATTTAATTAGACGCGCGATAAACGTTTGTCCAACAGTGATATTTTCCTTATTCGGTAAGTTTCGAAGAAAGTTATTTGTACATTGATCACAGATTCTTAATCCTTTCACTGACACGTATCGATTGACGGTTAAATTCCCCCCCGGAATCGTCAATGGTCGAGGAAGCTGAAAAATTCGTGACACCATCATGGATCTTCAAGACGTTTTATTAAAGGCTTACTATCTTTTTTTACAAGTATTTATATTACGCACTATAAAATATTTCTAACTTGTAAGTATTTTTATGGAAAATACTAGGTAGAAGTAGAAGAACTCTTATTTATTTTAATTTATTAACTATTACAAATTTAGTTTAGTTTTAACAAAACTAGTCAGGTCTGTCTGTTGTTTTTTTTCTCTGAGTAACTTATATGCTTATGAAAAAAAAAGAAAGAAAATGTGAACAAACTCAATCGGGAATCAAAGGCAGCTTTGGTCAGTGAAAGGGGTTTAAGAATAAGAAAAAGAAAAAGCAGAAAAGAGTTCGAAAAGGGTGTTCTAACGAGGAAGGAGAATGTTTATACAAAGAAAATATCCCGCTACGAAAAAATTTGAATTAGTCGTTAGAAAGAAAGAAAACGTCTGCTGCGCTCTCCTCCGGAAAAAAGGAAACGTTGCTCAACCAGGAGAAGGTAAACACAGAGAGAACGATTGAAAATCAAATACGCAAGATACACTTTTGCAGATACCTGTACACCGTTCGTTTACGAGAAAAAAAAGAATTTTTTGTCCCTAAACTAATCGCGTCATCGCTCTCTTCGAATAAAAAACGATCACGCGCCCCGCCGCGCGTTGCATTCTGTTTATCTGCGGATGTTCTCTTTTTATACATCGTCGAAATGTATATCAAAGTGACCGTTTAAACGATATCATGCCAAACCAAACTCTGTCTCTCGATCACTCCATCCATTTTATCTCCGATACATTCTATAGAATCTAATTAACTATTAACACTACTACTAAAGCTAAGCTCTACAAAAAACGAAATTTTAAAACTGTATCAAATGTTTATATGAAATAAATTATGATAATGCAACAGAACCGACAATTCCCTTCCAGAACGGAAGACAAACGAAAGACGGTCAACAAGAAAGAAAGGAAAACGAAAGTAAGAAGTAGACTACTACAGTAAATCCCGGTTTAGTGAACTTCGAGGAACCATCTCCCCGTAACAAAATGGAGGGCTTACCTTCGCGTCACACGAATAAATTCGATCATGCAAGGTGTCATGAAACATGTATATTTCACTCTAGCACACAGGTTCGGTTATCTTTGCTTTCTTTTCCTCCATTTTTCTCTGTATCTTTTTTTTGCTTTTCATATCTCTTTTTATTTCAGTTGAAAATGTCTCGTTTACACTTTGTCGTCATAGCAATGCGTATGTAAGGCCCGTAGTACTTACAATACATTGTTAAATTATCGGTGTTTTAAAAAGGTTTATCGAACGGATGTTAATACATTCTATATATATCAACCAAAGGGATCGGGGAGCTTCTCAATGACGATTCTTTTTTGTATTCCAACATGGCGGCACATAAAATCTATTAGATCCCCGCGGGATCGAGGGAAGGAGGCGGGGATGAATGATCGAACTGTTTCCGGTTTCTGTTCCCAGATTATAAAATTCTCGTGTCTTGTACCTCGTCAGTTTCGTTTACAGGCAACAATCATTGTATACGTATAATCAATTAGTCGGCTGGTGAAGGAGTTCGAATCGTGCGAAACGCGCCGAAATCGAGTATTTTTGGAATGGTAAACGAAATAGTTTCGGTAGGGGTAGCGCAGTTAAGATATAACCGAGGGAGCCATGGAGCCGAGTCGAACAAAGGAGAGAGAAGAAAAAAAACTCTGGTCGGGTTCACACAAAGTAGCACTGTGGAGGTAAAAATCTGACGTGTTCTCATTTTATAATTACAAAATTGTCTTGAAGACTATTACAAGTTAAGGTTCTCCTAGTTAGATTGGAAAAGAGCGAGCTAATCCGACCGGACATTTATTAAGGTGCTCGGGAACACACACGCATGGAAAATTTGCATTAAATAGACAATCACAATTGCCTAGAACCATCGCTTTTCTTGATATCCGCGCGTGTACTTTTATCTTGTAGAACAAAATGTATATCCATAATCGTATCGCCTCTCACTCTCTCTCTCACTCTTTCTCTCTTTCTCTGTCTCTGTTTTATTATTATTATTATTATTATTAATATTATTATTAATATTATTATTAATATTAATATTCTGTACGAATATCTCGAAAATGTTATTATAATATGAATATGTATATACAACCTTGGCTAGAACGTTGGGGCTTCAGGTTCAATTCCTGTATCGATGCGACGACGATTTCTTACCGTCCCGGTGGTTCGACTGCCTTGATCTTGATCGCGATTTTCTATGATCCCTCGATCGCGACCGCGACCTCCTCTTGCTCCTGGAAACGTAAGACTCGGAGCGTTTCCGCTCCTTGGATCGTGTCCGCGACCGGTCTCTGGCCCTGGATCGCGATCGGCTTCGCCGTTTCTCGCGTGCGCGCGATTTGCTGCGTCGAATCGAGTACGATCGGCTTCGTCGTCGTCCGCGGGAATGCGATCGGGACTTCCTCTTGCCCCTGGACCTTGACCTTGACCGTTTCCTCGCGGTCGAGACCGATCTAGATCTACGACAGCTCCTCGAGCGGGATCGGCGTCGCTTACGGTTACGCGATCTCGATCGGTGCTTTTTGCTGGACCTATAATTGCTCGAAGACCTTGAACGATACTCTTTACGCGAGGACTTTAGCGATCTAGACCTTGACTTCCGTTTGCGGCCGCGCTCCGAGGAACGGGACCGTGACTTTCGCGGTCTCGACCGACTTCGGCTCTTCGACCTCCTCTTCCGGTAATCGCGGCCCTTGCTAGTCCGTTTCTTCTTCAACGAGTTGCGACTCGAGTCGGAGCTAGTCGACTCCGAGCTGCTCGACTCGGTGTCCGCCGACCCTGAAGGTGTCTCAGCGGCCTTGGCCGTGTCCGCGGGCAAGGTCTGCGGCGGCTGTGGACTTTGCCCGGCGCTCGACAAAGTTTCAGACGCTTCTCTTTGATTATTTATCGTTTCTTTTTCATCAACTAAAGTAGTGATGTTATGGTGTTACGCTTAATGATGCATTGGTTCTCATAGGGGCTTACGTTCTAACATAACTTCGAAACATACCTGCGTCCTTGCAGCTTGTATTACCAGTATGATTTTCCTGTTGCTTTCCATAATGGTCCTCGTAACGTTGCTCTTCCCTCTCATCCTCCTCCGCCAGCCGTGCCTCGATTTCCTCCTCCGTCTTTTTGAACGCTTGTTGTCGCCGTCTTAATGTCTCCTGCAAGAAAGCCACAGTTTGAACACCGTATCCTCGATCCCCCCCATCGGAACGTGAAATTTTATTAAAGAATAATTATAGAAGCCTTATTATCAACAACTTACTATGAGTTCTTCGTCGCTGTCGTTGTTCTGAGCTTGGACGTGTTCGTTCTGCTCCTCCTCAGACTCGCTGTTGCTGTCGCCATAGATGCCCAGACCTACACGAAACGACAGGATTATTACGACAGATCACGTAATCGCGGCTCGTCTTTCGTTCAATGTAAGACATACGCTCGAGCACNGGTTCACACAAAGTAGCACTGTGGAGGTAAAAATCTGACGTGTTCTCATTTTATAATTACAAAATTGTCTTGAAGACTATTACAAGTTAAGGTTCTCCTAGTTAGATTGGAAAAGAGCGAGCTAATCCGACCGGACATTTATTAAGGTGCTCGGGAACACACACGCATGGAAAATTTGCATTAAATAGACAATCACAATTGCCTAGAACCATCGCTTTTCTTGATATCCGCGCGTGTACTTTTATCTTGTAGAACAAAATGTATATCCATAATCGTATCGCCTCTCACTCTCTCTCTCACTCTTTCTCTCTTTCTCTGTCTCTGTTTTATTATTATTATTATTATTATTAATATTATTATTAATATTATTATTAATATTAATATTCTGTACGAATATCTCGAAAATGTTATTATAATATGAATATGTATATACAACCTTGGCTAGAACGTTGGGGCTTCAGGTTCAATTCCTGTATCGATGCGACGACGATTTCTTACCGTCCCGGTGGTTCGACTGCCTTGATCTTGATCGCGATTTTCTATGATCCCTCGATCGCGACCGCGACCTCCTCTTGCTCCTGGAAACGTAAGACTCGGAGCGTTTCCGCTCCTTGGATCGTGTCCGCGACCGGTCTCTGGCCCTGGATCGCGATCGGCTTCGCCGTTTCTCGCGTGCGCGCGATTTGCTGCGTCGAATCGAGTACGATCGGCTTCGTCGTCGTCCGCGGGAATGCGATCGGGACTTCCTCTTGCCCCTGGACCTTGACCTTGACCGTTTCCTCGCGGTCGAGACCGATCTAGATCTACGACAGCTCCTCGAGCGGGATCGGCGTCGCTTACGGTTACGCGATCTCGATCGGTGCTTTTTGCTGGACCTATAATTGCTCGAAGACCTTGAACGATACTCTTTACGCGAGGACTTTAGCGATCTAGACCTTGACTTCCGTTTGCGGCCGCGCTCCGAGGAACGGGACCGTGACTTTCGCGGTCTCGACCGACTTCGGCTCTTCGACCTCCTCTTCCGGTAATCGCGGCCCTTGCTAGTCCGTTTCTTCTTCAACGAGTTGCGACTCGAGTCGGAGCTAGTCGACTCCGAGCTGCTCGACTCGGTGTCCGCCGACCCTGAAGGTGTCTCAGCGGCCTTGGCCGTGTCCGCGGGCAAGGTCTGCGGCGGCTGTGGACTTTGCCCGGCGCTCGACAAAGTTTCAGACGCTTCTCTTTGATTATTTATCGTTTCTTTTTCATCAACTAAAGTAGTGATGTTATGGTGTTACGCTTAATGATGCATTGGTTCTCATAGGGGCTTACGTTCTAACATAACTTCGAAACATACCTGCGTCCTTGCAGCTTGTATTACCAGTATGATTTTCCTGTTGCTTTCCATAATGGTCCTCGTAACGTTGCTCTTCCCTCTCATCCTCCTCCGCCAGCCGTGCCTCGATTTCCTCCTCCGTCTTTTTGAACGCTTGTTGTCGCCGTCTTAATGTCTCCTGCAAGAAAGCCACAGTTTGAACACCGTATCCTCGATCCCCCCCATCGGAACGTGAAATTTTATTAAAGAATAATTATAGAAGCCTTATTATCAACAACTTACTATGAGTTCTTCGTCGCTGTCGTTGTTCTGAGCTTGGACGTGTTCGTTCTGCTCCTCCTCAGACTCGCTGTTGCTGTCGCCATAGATGCCCAGACCTACACGAAACGACAGGATTATTACGACAGATCACGTAATCGCGGCTCGTCTTTCGTTCAATGTAAGACATACGCTCGAGCACTAAATATGCTGCTGCTATGATCGAAGAATGTCCTGTAAGACATATCTTCGTTTCACGAGAACTTATAAGCGAGCATTGGCTACGGACTGCACGGTAAATGCACGGACGCATTCTTTTCGTTCTTTTTTCTTTTCTTTTTTTCTTTTTTATATATTTTCGTTCGTTCTTTTAGTATCGATACAAGTGACTGGCATTGTACACGACCGTTTCCTAGGATCACCGTGCGTTGTAGATTGTAAAGACATAGGGACTTACCAAGCTTACGAGTGATCTGAGCAAGAGGGGCCATGTTGTTGAGGGATGCGACGGGGGTCTCTCCTGCAGGGACTTACAACACACACGCATTTAGTACCCAGTGGCTAAGTGCTATCATCAGAATACCCCCCAAAATTAAATGGTACTGATCATCATCATCATCATCATCGTCAGTGATACACGCAAGGAGAGTCGAGATCCTGCATCATTCCTCATACACCTTAAAGACATTAACGTGTTCCTTTTCGAACTACTAAAACTGAAACTGCTTTAGACTGACGTTAGTAGACAGATATGTTTTTGTACTGTTTCTTTTTTCGTTTATTTCTTTTTTTTTTGTTTTCAATGGAAGAAAAATCACGTGTATTTGAAGAAAAAAAAAACGAAAGAAAGGAGAAAGAGTAAGGTGTGTTGTGATTGTTCGTGTCGAAAGCAAAGCGAAAATATAATGATCAAGTCAAAAATAAAAATGGAAAAGATAAGTAGCTAGAATCTGGAAAGAAAAATCGGCTTTTGTATTTCAAAGCTCGAACATACGATCTTTATCTGTTCGGACCGGAGTGTTTTTTTTTTGCTGAACTTAATAATAACAATAATCATTGCCGTGCGTGTTTAAACTAAATTATCAGATATCTTTCGATCGATGTATTTGCCCTTTCACAGACTGTTCTGTTTTGTTCTTTTTTTTTTTTAACGAGAACGTTTCATTGCGCTAGTTACATCGAGTTCGATCGCACGATTCTTCGCCGTCGTATTATTCTTCACGGACAACGATATCTATCTGTCGAATCGACACGGACGTCAATTAACTCGGCAATGAATCTTCGATAAAAACGTTAAAGTAGCTTGTCTGTGTACTAAGAAACAAGTCACAACTCGCGACAAGATTCCGATTGTAATTCAATGCAAGAAAATGATTAAAAAGTGTCGCTTATAATACATGTTAGAAATCCTGGAAAATAAAGTAGGATATCCTGAAATCATCGAATAAGTAACTCTATGAATTGAATAATCTCTGTTTAATGTTTAAAAGCTTATATTACAGAAATGGGCAAATAAAATTCACCGCAACACTGCACGAGACTCGTGTGAATCAGATTTTCTGTGCACTGATCAGCGAAAGTATGAAATATCAATTTGTTAGTTGTATCGTGTGTATCTGGGGTACCTTTGGCACGTGCGCGGCTCCAAACCTCTCTGCATATAGAACCGATTTCTTCGTTCGTTACCTCCAGAAGAATTTCCGTTAGCGACCTCCGTACCTTCAACATCTGCTGACCAAAGTCTCCTTTATGGCTGCCCTAAGTAGACGCAACAGAGGAACTCGCTAAATGCTCACGAACTTTCCCATAACACCAAATTCACTAATCTCATCTCATCACTCAATCAACATTAAAAACATTCAACTTTCAGAATTTTCCTGCCTCGATCATTTCAAGCTACACGAATAGTTCTCGCGCGTAGAATAATTTAATAGACCCACCCGAATGTAAAGAGACGCATACTTTTATAACATTAGAAATATTTTTACAACATTAAAAAACGTTGAGATAAGTTTAAGCAATTTTTAAGTAGGGACACGTTCGTACGCGTAGATTTTCCATTAAATAGCATTCCCGGCCGTAACGTCGCCTTCGAAAGAAGGACACACAAAAAGAAAACGAGACACTCGAAAGCAGTGGAGAGGCTCTTCCCCATCGTCCTCGGTGGTTCCTGTGGTGAGGACAGAAACGCGATCCTACAGAGGGGATTGCCGATTTCCATGTTTTAAAGGATCTAAGACGGATTGCTAGACGTATAGAAAATCGATGGGGACGAAAATACTCCGTCACGGGCTCATAAAATGCGACGTTAAGGAGAGAAAACGCTGCATTTCGGCTCCAGTTCCACGAGCATTTCACGAGTCCAAGCTGTAAGACGATAATTCTGTTCAAACACTCACCACATCTTGCAGCACCTCCTCTCTCGATCGCTTGGGAGTACTTAAGGTAGCATTGGAAGGCGTGGTTGGACTCCTATCGGTGTGTGCATGTGCATCCGGCGAATCTGCGTCCCGGAATCGCGACTTCCGAGGCCGGAGAAGAATGTCTGGAGTACGCTCGAAGTTTTTGTCGGCCACCTGCTGGCTGCGCGAACCCTCCTCGACTTCTTGCTCAGTTTCCTTTTCGGAATCGGAGTCCTACGACCCGAAAAATCTGATTTTGCTAGCTCGAAGCGAGATATACCCCTTCGATCCTTCAATTGTCATCGAGATACTTACGAATTTACTTTTGGAAGGATTTAGCACCGCCCGGGCCTCGTCCTCGGCCTGCTTTCGGGCTTCTAGTTCTTGCTTCCTCAGGACCTCCTGCCGCTCCCTCTCGACGGCTTTCTGCTTCGCTTTCTCCATTTTTTCTAAGCCCTCTCTAATCCAGGCTGGTAACTGCCTTCGCTTAGCGGCGTCTGAAATAAGACATTATAGAGATTTTATAAGGATTCATAAACCGTTTATCGTCGTTGTATTGTATTTATCAGTCGCTTATCTGACCATTAGATAATTCACTTACCTATAGTCGTAGTGGTGTCCTCTTCTGGTGTCTTTTCTCTGTCTTCTCTACACCTGACGTTATCTATAGGCCTCATATGCGGCGTTCTGTTTGTGTGCCTAACTCCTTTCATGAAAGGGGGCGGTTGCGATGGTATTGTAGCGGGTGGTTCTCCTGACCAGTAACTACTGACCTAAACACAAAACACTCATTATCCGTAAACTTTTAGTTTCACCCAGATCTCGGTTGAACGTATATACAGAAGCTTGTGTTCATTATCGATTAATGACGGTGAAAATAAAATAAGGATAAATTGAAAATAATGAACGGAAAATCATCAAAGCTTCTAGTTCTATTACTGTGTGTTTTTTTTTTCTCTTTATTGAACCTAAGATAACTGGGAAGGGCCACGATCTAGGTGGATTTTAATATTAGAAATACAATTATTTAACCTGACTATAAGGTTGTGTTGGAGGTACTGAATTATAAGAATATAACGCCGGTGCTGCTGGAGGTGGCACATTAAATTCAGACGTTGTAGATATGGTTGGAGCAGGCGGTATAACTGGTACTGTAGGAATTCCCATAGGTTTCCCATCAGAACCTATAGAAACACCGGGGGGAGGCACACCAGTCCATTCCCAAGTACCTGCACCAGAACCTGAGCTGTTCCAATGGCCCCATTGATTCCATTGGGTCCAAGATTCAGCTGGTATTAAAGAATATACATTGTAAAATAGTACCATGAAAATCAACTTAGATTACTTATCTCTCTGGAACTAAGGTATCAAACAAAATATATTATATACAAAACTACGATATGGAATACTTCATCCAGGAAATCAATAGAATTCTATAATATATTTACATAATGCTTGTAACAGAAAAAATCAATAAAAGATAAATAAAATAAATTGCTTTGTACAAGTGCATTAACACATTCGGTGCTAATTTCATTTAATCTTTTCAAATGAGCTGGAGTTTATCATACTTATATGGTCCCTAGAGCCAGAATATATTGAGTTTACTCGAAAAATTAATTCTAAATCATTCAACTTTTCATATAAAATCCTATTCGTTTTGTACTTTAAAAAGTCTCGAAGATTTGCTTCTCTGCTTCCCCGTAAAATTTTATAAACGCAACCCAATATACTGCAGCTCTATAATTCATATACATCTATTACCTGTAGATGCAACAATGAACAATACCTGTACCAAGGCAACTAGATGAATTAGTCTGTGTTACCTGATCCACTGATAGTAGGCGCAGGCGGTGCAGGTGGGATATCATCGTCTTTAGTGTCCATATCCATGGGAGCTTCTCCACTACCGTCGGTTCCAGAACATATAGGATTAATAGTCGGCGGTGGTGGTGCCGGTGGAACAACGGTCTCTTTCATTTTGATCCATTGCTGAGCTAAAGCTGCCCAGTCGACTGAACATCGATCGTGAGCGTAAGTCATCAATCGAATACCAGGAACACATGGTAAATAAACGAGTGGCATGCTGATCGCGTACCAAAATACTTGCTGTTCCATTTACCTTGATCGTTGCTCATGTTCTGATAAGCGGAAGGGTTCAGGGCCCACTGGGTAGGGTAGTCCTTACCCTCGAACATATCCCCACTCATTTTCATCTATTAATGCCCTGATGGAGACACGGTTAATAAATAGTCAAGGCGCATTAACCTTGTATCTGAATAATATGGACATTGGCATGCGGTCTGTGCTCCGAAAGTCTGCCGGGAAGATTCTGTCGACTACATGATGGGGAAACACTTGGATTTCGTTTCTTTTCGTCACTTTCACTACACCGATCGATGTTTTATTACGGTTCGGGACGCCCTGTCGCGATATATGTAAATTGCACGCAATGTACACGGCGTTCACGGACACAGATCCACGAAGGTCTCCTCAGGCTCGTGGCACGATCAATTTCCGTATCACTAACGCGATTTTACATTTTTCACGTACTTATCCACTCGCATCTTCATCATCGAAGAACTGCCAAACTACTTTACCGGAAAATATCACAAATCCGAAGAACGTTCGCCGCGAGTGCGAGGTGTCGCATCTTGCGTGAAGGCGGATTTCCATTATTATTATAAGCGACCGCAGCGCCTGCAGTCGGCAGGGACTGTCCACAACAATGGCCTCCGCGGGTTCAAACGGGTATAGAATCGTGGTCGATTGTCGTGCGCACTTGGAATCGGTGTCGTTAGAAAGAGAAACTCAAAAAGTTTCGCTAGTTTATTTCTTCTCTAGAAGTTCTACGTACACGGTGTCGAAGAAGAAGCGGTTCTGCGCGATGTCCGGTCTCGTTAGGACTTTTTGTTAAACATGCTGGAGATCGAGGAAAAGTGTGGTTCGTTTTATCGCATTGTTTTATGCTTTTTCACTGTCTAGAATTTCACACGTTTCAATGTATTATTATTATTATTGTCGTCGAAAATTAATAGAACTTACTATGTATGCAATGATTGCACTAATCGATACTAATATAGTAATTAGTTCTTATCGATTTAAATGGTCATGGAAATAAAGAAATCTGTATTTTGTTAATGTTTCTTGTAGTCGATGTGAAATACTTTCACTTAGAGTAACGATGTAGAATTTATTAACTAGTTTTACCTGGATTTTTGAAATGAACGAACTGCGATTGATCGATCGTCCTCCATGCAGATCTGTGCTCTTGGCGCCAACGCGGAGCAAATTCAAACGGAGGACCGAAGGAGGGAAAATCAAACGGATTTTGTAATCACCTAGAATGCCAGGTAATTAATTTCGATTACAATGCACGATTGCGACGAAATTACTATCCGTATATGCATGCCATTGTTTTGCAATATATTTGCAAATCTTAAATATAGGAATGTATTGATTTCAAAGCCAGAATCTATTAAGTTGAGTTTCTTAAACTTATAGGATATGTATAACATACGATATGTATTTTTAATAATATGTAATAGTAATTTATGAACACTTTTAAATATACTATTTTATTCTTTCGAAAAAGAATTGTGCATTAAATATAATTGCTTTCAAAAATAAGAGCTGAACATACATAAATATAATATAATATACATAAATACGAACCGCACATAACAATATACGTAAATATAACAAGTAAAAGACTTCGAAATAATATATTATATAACAATATAGATAAATATAAAAAGTAAACGACTTCGAACAAAATGATGTTTATTTGCTTTTGTTATATATGTTTTTATTTAACTTAAATGCAAATGCTTAGGAATACTAATTAGATGAACAATTAGAAGAACAATTACAATTAGATTAGAACAATGAACATTGTTAGAACTTGTCTTTAAAGTAAAATTTATATTTAATTTGGAAGCAAAAGGACCCTTTTCCAATACATCACCCCTAAGCGGTCCTAAACAAATTAAAAAACTTTGATCAGTAAATGGAAATCAATAACTGAAACGAAACAATCGTCGACATTAATTTGACTAATTGAATTTAGTCGATCTTCTAAAGAACCGAGACTTCAAGAAGATTCCTGAACATTGTCTTCTGTTGTCTTCACAATTAAATCGAGTTCCAAGGAGACAATAATATTCCCGGTGCCCGATAAGTGTCCCTTTATTGTCCTCTTATAAATATATATTTGAAAGTAAATTGCGAATATGTTCTTACGATTCCCCTCGGAAAAGTCTACCCCCCCCCCCCCCACTCCTCCTCGTTCAAATATACGATAAGTACTGCGTTTCTTTCGCCCTTCGCAGCGGTTTTCCCCCGGTAAAATATCCTCGCCCAATTGCACGGGCCAGGCTGGATGAATTAAAACGGCGATGGTCTAATTTCGGGGCTGAGTCGCGTTAAGAGGTCGGCGGGGGTAAACCTGGGGTTTCACCTGGTGGGGATGAATGTACCACTCCGTGTCAGGTGTACCGGCACGCGGTCGGCTACAGTTCTATCAAAAACACCGTTCGTTCACTTTGCCCTCGGAGCAATTCGGCCGTAGTGGTTTCTCGATTCCTCGCTGATCGAAGGACAAAAACGAAGACAAAAACTCACCCTCTGTGATCGAACAATTCAAATTTCGCAACAGTTTAAAAGAACGTTCCGTTCCACGATCGTTCTACGCGGAGGACCGTCGAAAGGTGGTTTTGTTGTCCGGTGAATCGGACTTCGTCGAAGTTCGTTAACGTTCGCAGGATTTGTGATTCGTTCGGCTAAAATGCGATCGGATCGTTGAATTAACGCGAATTCTTCAGCGGGATCCACCGACGATGTAATCCGCGCCCAAGAAATCGTGCGGTAAGTGCTTCCTATTGTTCGCCCTATTGTCTCCTTGATTACGAAATATTTGCTGCGTAACGGCAGCGCCGCGCGCCAATTAATGCCCCCATTATATACGGCGCGCACCATGACCCGGACGCCGGGAACACCGCGCCGCGCGGATTTTCATTCTATCCTGGTCGAAATGCAACGAATTTCTAAAGCCGGTTGTTGACTTAATAAAGACGCCGCCGAATTGCGGGGCCGGCTGGCCCCCCGCGCACGGCACCCATTCACCGAACCACCCACAATGCCACCAATTTGTTCCCTTCTCCTCTTTAATGAGCTGCCATTGCGGCCGGCGAAACATTTCAAAGTGGAACGGGGACTTCTGCGCCGATTGCATTCGTTCGCGCTGCTCGTATAAGCGGTACCTCCGGGAGACGCGGCGAGCTCGCGGAGCCAGAAGGCGTGAAAATGCTCGGCCATTAAACGTCAAACAGAAATTGGGCGACGGTGGGGGCCAGGGGTGGAACGAGGTGTATCGAGGAATTAACAAAACCGCTTTGAACTCGTTGGGAACCACGCTCGAACAGTGAACGCTCCTTTGGTCTGCGGGACGCAATTTGCTTCTGGCTATAGTAGACATCTGCACAGGTCTTTTGCGAACGGGGCGCGATGGCGTCGCGCTGGTCGAGGGTTGTACTGAGAGCACCAGAGCCGATAAGCAGTGTTATATAGAAGAAGGGGACTTCACTGACAGAGGCGAAATGCTTTGGAAGTGGCGATAAGATGGAAGATATCGGAAGTCTCGGGATTTAGGAGCTGCAAGAGCGATGACGAAATAACAGCTGCAACGATGGCTACGATAGAACGATTACGATGCTCTCGGTTCTATTAGGTTGGTGTATACGAAATGTCGGATTTTCTTTTATTATTCTTTATTATTTTCTTTATTATAATTAATTTAAAATAATAATTAATTATATTTAATATTAATATTTAATATTAATATTTTGAATTATAATTAATTTAAAATATTATATTATTTTTATTATTTCCTTTATTATTTCTTTCTATTATCTCTCTGTTTTCGTTTTCGCTTTTGTTCTTAGCATAACGTCGTTTATAGTCGTACCGTCCATTGCCAGAGTCACGTTTCAACGAAGAAGATTTTCTCGAAAGTGTTCCATTTTGCTGTTTGTTCTGAATTTCGTAAGGACACGAACTCGACCGATATTCCTTTAATTTTTGTATACTTAAAACAAAACAAATGCGAAGTTAAATGAAACCCATCTTATTCGCCGGATCTTTCGCCAACCGACTCTCATTTTTTTTAAATATTTAGAACAGTTTTTACGGGCTAATAAACAGCATAGAAATGAAGACAGACTGAAAAGTTCTAGAATTTATTGATTCGAAAGATCAGAATTTCATTAAGACAGCCATCTAGTAATGAAGCAAATTGAGCATATTTTGATAAATAGCTTTTGAAAGAAGATATACAGTTTTAGATATTCGCTCAAAAATCCGACATTTCAACCTAATAAAATCGATACATTTTGGAACTAGGAAAACCAAGAAATTCGACCGGCTTTCCTACGGTTCAGAGATCGAAGTGATCAAGGTTCTCGCGATCTGCCATCCACGAGGTGACAATGCCTGCTCCCTAGAGCAATCGCAGCCAGTAGAGACAAAGCACTTCGAAATCACGGATCTCGGAAGCCTTTCTAGGATTAAAAAACGGTCTGAGCCACGAAAGGATCTATGAGTCAGGGGCCAGAAGAAGGTGTCCCCGATCGAAGCACACCGCGAACAGGAAGGAACGGTCTCCGGGGCCAACCAGCGGAATCAGGCGATGCCAGGGAACCGAATAAATTTAGGTTAAACGTTTATCGATTGCTTGGGAACGGTTCGGAGGGAACGGCGATTCGCGCGGACTCTTTGGCGGACACCTGACGCGAGTCCTTAACTGGCGAAGGATGTCAAGGAAACGTACGAAACTCGCCTAGTAGGCAGCACCGATCCGCTCGACCGATTTAGCGGCGAATGGCAGCGATTCGCAGCGGCGATCCGCGCCGAGGCCGCATGCAAATGCCGGAAATTGCACGGTACCAAAACCCGGAACGCGGACACTTTCGGTGTACTCTCTGGCGGTGGTAACGCGTTCGCCGAATCTTCGGCGGGCCCGAGGATTGGAAAAGGTCGCGGCGGCAGAGTTCACCAGTCTTGCTTCCTTACATACGAGAGCCACGGGTATCGATCCGCTTACTTTCGCGACCTAGAAATAGACAATTCGTATCGACATTTTCGCACGTGTGCCGCGCGATGCGTTCCGGAGACCAGCCGGGTTCCCTGCACGGGCCACGTCGTAAACCTTATCGCGACTCGCGGAGTAATGTCGCATGCCGTTTCCGGCAACCGTGAACACGTATCGGCCGTCCGAACGAATCGGCTTGGGTGCTGCGACAACCGTTATTTCGACTTATGACCGATTCGCCAGAGACCTCGCTGCTGCCGGTCATGTTCGCGGTAAGTGTTGTTTCGCGGCGTCTTTAGATCCGCCGATTTTCTTGGCGTTTTTACCATTTTTTTTTCCTTTTTTTGAATATCGTTATACTCGGAGTGCCGGCAATTCGGCAGTCGATAGTCCAGGTCGGAGCAACTTCTTCGACTTTATATATTAATATTTCTATATTCGATTTTTCCGCGGATACTTCCGCGCGATCGGAGCAGCCGCTGCGTTGCGTTTTCCATAGAACGCGTTCGATTATCACGTTTCGATCCCGCGGCGTCTTTAGATCCGTCGGTTTTCTTGGCGTTTTTCCCATTTTCTTTTCTTTTTTTTTGAATATCGTCATACTCGGAGTGCCGGCAATTCGGGTTCGATAGTCCAGGTTCGAGCAATTTATTCGACTTTATATATTAATATTTTTATATTCGACCGCGATTTTTCCGCGGATACTTCCGCGCGATCGGAGCAGCCGCTACGTTGCGTTTTCCGCAGCACGCGTTCGATTATCACGTTTCGATCCCGCGGCGTTGCGTTCCATTAATGAAACGAGCGTACTAGCATCGTTCGGGCATCTAAATAACACGGTCCGCGCGCGACAGGACTCATTCGTGAAACATTAATTCGCGCATCAGGTCGTAAAACAAGCATTACGAGCGGGCGTTCCGCCGCGTCCTAGGAACATTTTGTCGCGGCATCCGCGAACGTCGAACGCGTCGGCCGTCTTTCTCCCGCGGCGTTAATATATACCGACGACAATTTATAACCGTCCCGGCGCTGCATTAGTACCATAACTTTTCTCCTTTTTTTCTTCTTTCTCGCGGTATCTCTCGAGTGCCCGCCTTATCAATTTCCTGGTAGAAATGCCGCAAACACGCGGAGATACTCCATAAAATCTTGAAAGGGAACGCCGACGCCGCGGCCGACCGTTTAAACGATGCCTTTCATACCATCGAAAGATTTCAACAAACATTTAATAAATCAAAGTCCGGCCATGTAGGAGCTATTCCAAGGAAGAATTTCCACGGACGTCGATTCGCGAGAGTCGAAGTCCGACCGCGTGCGAGCTGTTTCATCGATAAACTTCGGCGAACGATTAACAACGACAAATGGAAGTTCGGCCATCCGACTGATTACTTCGTCGGATGATTTTTCAAGAAACATTTAATAATCCCGGAGTTTGTTGAACCGTTCGACCGACTCGTCGATTTCGCCGACTTGTCGGCGTATTCTATTGGGTTGTCCGGAAAGTTCGTGCCGATTTTTTAGAAAAATTAAAACGCAGCTCATTTAAATATTGGAGCCAAACTTCACAGTATGATCGCGGATGGTTGATTTTGATTTATTTAGTATTCCTGCTAATTGACGTAATGTTGAGCGTGGGTTATTCTCGATTTCTGTTCTAATCATATCATCGTCTGCGGTGGACGGCCTACCTGGGCGTTCTTGATCTTCAAGGACGAAATTTCCAGCTTTAAACCGAGCAAACCACTTCCGCACAGTTCTTTCGGCTACAGCATCCTCGCCATAAACAGCGCATATTTTATTCGCCGCTTGTGTGGCATTTTTGCCCTTTCGGAAAAGAAGAGCATTAAATGCCTAGAATGCACTTTATTTGCCACCATATTCTAAGGCGTACAAAACTGACAAAAATTAACGAATCGTAACCAAGCTTTTTTCCAAATATGGCTGAAGTTATCTCTTTTAGAACATGTACACATGTCATTTGTTTTCGATAATTGTGATATATTCAGTTAGGTCTCTCACGCTACCTACCGAAAATCGGCACGAACTTTCCGGACAACCCAATAAATACGTCCGATCCGGCGACCGATTTTCGCGATCGCCGCGAATCGCCGCGAATGCCGAGAATACCTGCGAGATTATCGAGCGATCGCCGGATCGGGAAAATCCTGTGCAATCGGAAGCGCGCCTAAAATTGAGCACCACTGAAGCAACACATTTTTCCTTCGCCGATCGACGCGGTTCTCTTTCCCGATCGTTTCGCTCTATCCAACGCGAGCGGCCGTCTCCGTTCCGCGCGTTCCCCCACCAGCGTTGCTGCCAGCAGCGAAACGCTTACCTCGTCTCACCTGTCTTCTTAATTTCTCGGCTACGCGTCTGCGATTTTCGCGCTCGTGTTACGGGTGCCGCGCGCGGGTGCCGGCCGATCGACGCTACCGAGCCAGAAATACGCGGCTTAGCCGCACAGGCCCGATAAAAGCCCGGTCGTTATCGTCGCCGATCGGACGGGTCGTGTCGTCGTTGTGCGCTGTGTGTGTGTGTGTGTGTGTGTCGGTGCACACGCGATCGAAAATCGTGGCCCGATCCCCGTCGGATCGCGATCGTCGCAATAGTGCTATAGTTCGTAGAGTGCTCCGACGTCGATTCGACGGGCGGACTCGTGCGATCGTTCCGCGGGCTTATCACGCGCCGCTGATAAGCCGCGGCGAAAGTGTGCCGTGCCGCGGACAAGTGGACCCAGCCCGGATCTGCCTCTTCGGACGGTTTACAATAGCTTCTCGCGTACCATGGACGAGCGACGCCGTTGTGGATCCGATCGATCGACACCGTCCTTCCGCGGACGCTCGATGCTGCAAGGACGCGGAAAATCAAGCGGCGAGATCATAGAGGCGCCGGGGAAGCGAGAGTGACAAATCGCCGCCGCGTTGTGCTCGGATTGTACCGTGTGGCTCTCTATAGCTCGTAGCTCTAATCGTTCCAGCTGAAAAGACGACTTCACGCTCCCTCGATCGAGACCCTAACGCCCCAACGGTATTCTCTTTGCCGGACTGCGAACCGATATAGTCCTTGAAACGATGAGCTGGTAACCGTTTCGAATATTCTATTCCGGGCCTCGTTATCTCCGCCAACTCCTTCGGCAAATCGGCCACCGCACCGCGCTCGGTGGCCGTTCTGCAAATTTTTTAACGTCGCGCGACACGCCGAGGACAAGTTCGACGGCTGATAAATCGCCGCATCGTACTCTCGAAATTAACCGCGCCGCTCTGTTTGCTGATCGACGTCGTCTAGGACCTGTCCTCTCGAGCATTTTCTTTCGTTTGGAATGGTTTCCTGTCGATTGATAGAAGCTTTTATTGCATCGTTTAAAAATTCTTCTATCGTGTTTTCCTTGTCGCATCTGCTCGGATAACACCGTCTCCTCCGGCAGTTCTCGGAACGACGGTCTAACAAAAATTCGAGCTATTCCGCACGGTGTCCGGCGATCCTCGGCCTCGTCGTCAGCAAATTGGCTACCCGGTAGCGACCGTGCCGGCCCCCGTAGAAGCTCGTTGACTGGCTGGCTGGTAGCTTCGAAACAAGATTAGTCAGCAAGGAACGGCGAACCCGGAGTCTTTCGCCGCGATAGGCGATTATTTCGTGGCAGCGGTATCAGGCGATTGCCCGCGGTGTTTCAGGTGCGCCTGATCTACGGAGATCGTGAACACGCGCCGCGGTCACGTGGCCGTGGAATATCACGGAGCGAGAAAACGTACGGCCGATTCCCGCGGACGCGAACGCCGCGGCACCGCGAGGCTGGCACCGATATATTTTCCGCGGCTTATCGGACGACAACGGTTTTCCAGATGCTTTCCGGCTTGTAATCGGCTGAACTTCGCGCCACCTTGAAGCGAACGTTATCGGCGCATTCACGAACGTGGCAACGCGTTACGTGGCCCCGCGGTTGCATCGATTTAACTAGCCGCGCGTTTCGAGGTCTAGAATCGCGCGCGATCGTTAAGCCGTTTCGATAGCTACCGGCCCGCCCAGCCGCTCTTCGCTGGTCGGCCTTCGATAGAGAATTAATTGGCTGTTCGCGTTTCTTCGTAATTTTCGGATCGCGCGGCGACCGCCGTACAAATTCGACCGACCGAACGAACGCCGCTGTCTCGCGCCGCGAGATTTTTCTTTCTCGGTAGGTTTCGCCGGCGAGACGATTCGAGAACGATAAATTCCCTCTCGGATTCGCGGTTCGATTTCAATCGGACAGCACCGACTGCGAATTGATTCCGTCCGGCATCGTCAACAGTTTTATTTCTCCGTTTTATTTGCCCGCGAGCCGGTGACAATTAGGGTTATATATACGGTTTCCCCGGGATTTACGATCACAATTCGTCGATTCGCCCGTTTTACGGCTCTGTCAACGCTCTGGAAACGTCGCTGCAAGTCGCTGCATTCCTCGTAAATTCCCCGATAGTCCACCGATACGGTCTCGCTTTTACGATAGCGTTAATTGTCGATGACGTAGCGGAACAATAAATATTCCTCGACCCCGTGTTCCCCGTGTTCGAACGGCATATTCATTCGAACGGTTATCGCGACGATTACGAACGTATCGTCGTCGTTGTTCCGTTTAGTCTGTCGTCGCGACGGCGACGAACGTCGTCGCCGGGTTCCATCGAGGAACGGAACAACGCTCGCGAATTTTCGTGCGCGGAACGCGAGCCTACGATTCGCCGCGATAACGTCGATATTGCTAATTATGTCGCAACGATAACGGCAAAAACGCGATAAGAGGAAAAAAAACACACTGATACAGGTGGAGTGCGTTTCTAGCTGCACAACAATGCCGAGCGTTTTCGAAGCGCGAATCGCGTAGCGGCACGTTCGCGAGCTGGAGGAGCTCTCTCGGATTCGAACGTAGCCGAATTCGATCGACGACGGATCGATGCATCGTCCGACATCTCGTCAACGAACCTCACGATTTTACGGATTTCTATTTCTTTTTTTCTTTTTTCGACATTAATTCAGCCGCGAGGTCTTCTTCAATGTTACCGAGCGTCGAGCATTTTTCGCACTGAGTCCGAAGACGATAGACCGAATCGATCGGCGTGAAAAGCCGAGAACGACCGTGAATATCGACCAAACAGTCGCCGGGAAAAATCGGCGCCAACTTAGCCATGCTTTCGCAGTCACCGACCCTAGCATAGCCGGACGAAGTTGAGCCACATTCGGTACTCGATCCGACAAAGCAGCGAATGAAATTCCAGGCCGTCGGTCGATGTCGCCGATAAATCAGCGAACGATCGTGCTCGCATCTTCGGCTAACGAACAGAGTCAGTCATTAATCGGCGGAAAGAGGATGATCCCCGCGAATGCCATTGCGATCATAGTTCGTTCGAATAGCAGAGCGTTCCGGCGCGCGTGAAACATTTCAGCGTTTCGTAACGCGGACAATCGCGGTGATTGGACGAACCTGTGCCGCGAAATTCACGGTAACCAGCGGATTGTTGTCGGCGGATGACAGAGACAGAAATAGAAACAGAGAGCGAGAGAGAGGGGGGTTTAATTGTTCACTTGAACGCGTTATCCGCGTAATGCGGCCGCGGCCTCGCCGGTTATCGAGGGCCCATCCGCAGTGCTTTAAACGGTCCGCGTGATTGGCGTTACACGTGAAACGCCGGGTCGTTTATCTCGCGGAGCTGACCTCGGTGAAATGTGGCCAATTCCTTCCTGCTGAAGTGGACCGAGCCACCGCCGAGGATTCGTCGTCACGCCCCGGAGAGGATCCGTCTGTCTTTCTGGCTGATGCGCTCAACCTTTTTCTCTCCCCTGTTGTTTCATCCTTCCTTCTTTTTTCTCCCCCGCTGCGTTGCTTTTCGCCGTGTTCGCCACGACGCCGGTGCTGCCTGCGCCGGTCCAGGGGCTTGGCACGATGACAACGCTGAAGAAGGACGAGAAGAGGGCGACGAAAAAGTCGCCGAAGACCGCCAGCCAGAAAGCCCCCGGCCGCAACGCGAAGACGGTAAAGCCGACCAGGCAGCAACATCAGCCTGTAAAGCCCGAGCCCATCGACGAACCAGGTACAGGCATCGTAGACGAGATTCCTCCGACTGTGCAACGTTGTGCAAACTTTTCTGCGAACTCGACACAATCTCTTCCGGACGATGGAAAACAACGATCTTCCGTCGCTCTCGCGGAATATCTCGATCGGCACGTATGGTGCAAAGGGAATTGTTCCGATTCGGAGGGACTGACGTGTACAGTATTCTTCCCTCGATACTAGAATCCTTCGAGAGCACTGACTACGGCAGTTCAGTTCGCTCTTCTTTATTCGCTGTTTTTCTATAGGATAATTCATAATATCGCGGGAACAGAGAGCTTCTTGCGGATAGAGAATACGTACTCCGTTTGAATTATACATTTCTTCGAACATTCGATACATTCTTCGTTTAATTTGATATATCGGACATACAGTGGGCCGCAAAAGTGTTCGTATTTTAAAAAGTGTTTTGCTTTGCGTTTTAACCCTTTGCACCCGAAGCTATTTCAACTGTAAATGTAGAATAATTTTTCTGGCTTATATAGTATTTTTATTTTATACGACAAAGTGCATTTTATGCATATGAAATTGGATTCTTGTGACTCGCGCAACAGTTGCGCCCTTAACAATTATTTAAATCTAAATTTTGTTAATATGAAAATTATCTTAGAACGTGATATAACAAATTTTAATGGTGCCTCAAAGTCACCACTCGAGTGCAAAGGGTTAAAATGCAATAACTGTTTTCACACTGAACTAAATGACTCGAATCTTTTTTTAAGTGATAGAGAGACTAGTCTAGCAGACGGTGATCAAAATGCCTTTTTTAAATTTTGCTATTACTTTGAGTGAAAAAAAGAAAATAAAAAAGCTCTCGTTTCTTAACTTTTTTATTTGAGCCTATAACGAACATTTAAATTAAATTTTCAGGATGCATATAAGTTACCGAGATCTACGAAAGGCATTTTTTAAATTTCCCTTACAGGCTCAGATAAAAACGTTAAGAAAACGAGGGTTTTCAAACAAAAAGCTTCTTAGCCATCGTCTAGTAGACGGTTAGAGAAGTCTTATCGTCTAGTAGAAGTTATTACATTTTAAAAGGTGTTCGAACACTTTTGTGGGCCACTGTGTCTTGTTTGCACCACGCGTCTTCTTCTCTGTCAATAATATTCAAACGAGGAATGACATCGCAATAATTTCTCCCTAATTCGCGCTCAGATTGCGCACAAAAATGGACAATTCCGGGAAAAGGAGACACGATTATTCGAGCCTTGCGTCTCGTTTTGCTGACAATCGGTAACTATAAAAACGAGCCAGTCTCGAATAATCGCGCAATTTTTGGGCGCGATCTGACCGCGAATTAAGGAGAAATGACTGCAATTGTTTTTACATTGATTGCGACAGAGCTTTCTGTAACGACACGGTGGACTTTGCGTTGTTCCAGAAAATTTGAAGGATGTCCCGAATCCCGAGGTGGACGTCGAGGTGACCAGGAAGAAGAGCGGGAAATTCGAGCGCAAGTCGTCGTTCCGTTGGAAAATCGGGTCGCTGATAAGAGGCAGCGCCGCCGAGTTACCGGCAGCGATAAACCGCGGCCTACAGCCGATTAGGCGAAGCCTGAGCTTCAGCAAAGACTTGAACCGGCTGCACGAGCCGTCGAAACCGTCTCGGGTTGGCAGCGCGCAATGGTATAACAGTCTGGTGTCTTTGGCGGAGGACGAATGTCTGGCCGAGACGCCGCCGAGAAGCAACTTTAACACCCTGCCGACGAAGGTCACCAGGACACAGAGCCTCATCGACACCACTGCCGTAAGACTTCCGATTCATTTTGCTTGATTCACGCCTGTACGATTTTCAATCTCGATTCCAGCCTTAGAGTTGTACGCCTCGGCGATCTTTTTATTGGGTTGACAACTAAGTAATTGCCGATTTGTTCAATGAAATAAAAAATTTTTTTACTTGGAATGAAGTTTAATCTGTAATGTGTATTTTCCATTTTGTTCAATGACCTTTTGCCATCTCTCTGACAACTTGAAAATTCCACGCTCGTGGAAAGTCTGATCCTTTTCGGCCGAAAACTGAGTTAAGTGAGATTTTACAGCGTCATCATCGTTAAAAGTTTTACCACGAAGGGAGTTGTCCAGGGATCGAAATAAGTGGTAATCCGATGGCGCGAGATCAGGGCTATATGGTGGGTGTAACATCAATTCCCAACCAATATCCATCAATTTTTGCCGAGTGGACAAAGACGTGTGCGGCCTAGCATTGTCCTGCTGGAAAATGACACCTTTACGATCGACCAATTCTGGTCGCTTTTCCTTGACCGCTGCATTCAATTTGTCCAGTTGCTAACATTCACGGATAATAAAAAATAACATAATAATAATAATAATAATAATAATAATTTTATAATATAACATTTACGGATATCATAAAAATGGGAGTGAGAGACATCTATAACTGAAATCGGCAATTACTTAGTTGCCAACCTAATATTATTGCCGTTGCACGGACGCCGCGAACGACGATATTAAATTGTTTTGACGAGATAGCGCCGGCTCGATGCTCTCTATCGATTCATAGGATTGCTTAGTTCAGCCGACGCCGTAGCCAGTTACGCAACGTTCAGCCCGGTAATTAAGACTTAATGAGCATTCCCGTCGAATTTGAATAGGATTTTAAATGAATTTGAAATGGAAATCGTGCTGACGGGGAGGCTCGGCGCGCCAGTCGGATTTGCATTTTTATTTGATATAAAATACGTCGGATCGGGCGCTGATGAAGCTGCCGCGGCCAGGGAACGGAGCTGGCGTCCGTAATTCTTGATAGATATGTTTGTACAGTTGGATCTGATTAATTTGTGCCGGCACTGACAGACTGGCATTTCAATATTCTTTCGTGCAAGATCGGCTCGGCTCTCCTTCGCTCCGACAACGCGCTGACAATTTTCTGATCGTCTCCAGACAACTTTTCAACCGTCTCGAGACGCTCTTTCACGCTCGTTCACATTTATAAATCCACGATCGAAGAAATTCGACGGACAAGACGGATCGTTGCGCGATCAAAGATCAGTTTCGACAATATTGCTAGGCGATCGGAACCTCAATCTGCAGATTGAATCGCTTTCGTATTATTATTAGCACGATGGGAACGCGGCCCGCCATTCTGTCCTCGGCGTCGAATTAAACAAAAATTCTCGGACTGTCTGGCAACCGTAACCAGAGGGTACTCTAATTAATTGATCAATGGCCCCGCGTTCAATTCGCTCCAGCACGCCCGGCCGGATTCCTCCGAGATTTCGACGTCTCCGAGCCAGCCGGGCCATTTAACGGAACCATGATATTATTAGCCGTTCCGATAGGGTGTGCCCCGATCTCTGCCGATAAGCCTGACCGGTGTAGCAAAGGGTGGATCAACGTTTCCAGATACGGGGAACAATTTTCGTGGGCCGCGCGCAGGATTAATGTGCTTCCAAATGAAATTAAACCGTATTAACCGTTTGCACTCGAGTGGTGACTCTGAGGCACCATTAAAATGTACGATGTCACGTTCTAAAGTAATGTTTACATTAGCAAAAAGTTTAGATTTAAAAAGTTAGTTGAGAGCGTAACCGTTGTGTGAGTCACAAGAGTCAATTTCATATGCACAAGATGCACTTTTTCATGTGAAATAAAGACACTGTGTGAGCCAGAGAAATGATTTTAGATTTACAGTTGAAATAGCTTCGAGTGCAAAGGGTTAAACATTCCCTGCTTCTTCGTAATTACGAATTAGTTTATTATTATATACAAAATTATTATTTTATTCATATTATATTATTATATAAAAATTATTTATTAATTATATAAAACGTAAACAGAATGTCCTCTCGGCAGTGATTCCTCTTTAAGGCGAAGCACATCGTTGTAACCGGTCGATTAACACCGTTCTCGGAGCACCCGCGTTCATTTCTATCAAGAGTTAATGATCTTAATACCGATTTAACAAGAGTACGGTACGCTACGGTACTCTCGTTAAAATTACAGTGTTACATTTTTATGCTGAAAAATGTACACCAGCGAGCGAAATCTCCGAGTTCGAAGCTACCGTCGACGGGCTTCGCGGAAATCGGAATTTTTCCGGGGTGATTCGTGATACGGGAAATTATATCCGCGAGTGCGTTACAACGGCGGCCGTTTTTCGGCGGCGGAAATTCGGACGCGGAGATCTCGGGCACGAATAGATACTGCGAAACAATCGGAACGGCTCGCCTTATTCTTGGCGATGCAATCGGCGCAGCCCGAATGCGAGGGGCGCATTAAGCGGATGAAAATATCCGGTAATGGCGGGGCACGCCACGGCTCGACGCGGCGGAAAGATATCTGCCTTGGCCACGCTAGAAAAAGGGTCGATTAGTTCGGTCGATTTTAAATAGAAGCGGAGCCTCGCGGACCTTCCCCGGCTAAATCCCGGCTCGCTTAATTCGCTCGCGAAAAGACGGCCTCCGCCTCCTCCTCCGTCTTGTCGGCCGTGCATCTTTTATCGTGGCCGGAAGACGGACCGCCGCGCCGCGGAAAACCCACCGTCTTATATCCAGCAACGGGGCTGCTTCCGTAATTTTCATGTGCACTCGAGCGTTCCGATCGATTGTTAAAAGAAATTGCGTTTGCCCGACAGGCAAGGAGCCCCAGGCGACGGCCCAGCCAGCTGCTCGGCAAGACCGCCCCTTACGGACGACACAGCGATCACTATGATTCTACAATAGGTATGCACAATCACTCTACTTTTCCGCCCGATGCACAAATTCTTCCTCAATTTTTATTCCTCGCGTTGCCTTCGCTCGACGACTGTTTGCGTCCTCCTTGCTGCAAAAAGTTTTCTTCAATTTCAAACGACATTAATTAGCGGACCGTGCGGTTTCGTGCAGTTTTCTGCAGTTTTCTGCATTCCTTAATAATCCCATCGTGTTTGCTTCGCTTCAGATTTGAGCAAGCCACCATGCGAAGCGAGCAGCCTCCCCGCCCTTGCCACTGCGCAGGATGATCCGGAGAACGAGCCTAAGTTCGCGTAAGTAACACTTCGATATCTGTTCTAATTCCTTCGACATACACAGCTGAGACGTTCTCCGAGCTTCCTAATTGCTCGATAATGAACAGACTGCTGATTTACGGACGATCGCGACGTACAACGAGCGCATCGAAGCTCGAATTTCGGTCTTCTCCGTAATTTTGTTAGAACCTTTATCGAACTCCCTGATTACTCGATAACGAAAGAACTAACTTATCCTGCCACGTGCATCTGTCGTTCGATCAAAGCCAGATGGTCGAAGAGCCGAAATTCCAGCAGGGTTTATGTTCGAAGGTTTTTTGAATCAGCTGGCAAGTTGTCCCGGTCACGGGTTGCCGAATTAACAGCCGATGCCGGCGCCTGTTATCAACAGCTTCCAGTTAATTAAAGTCGCTTTCCCAAGGGGCTCTCCCTTGGGGCGTCGTTCCTTTTGTTTAAAGGAAACCGAGCAAATTGCTCCTTCGAACGACTTGATTTACGGGGCTGCGAGCGGCGGCGTCGGCGTCGTAACTCCTGTTTCGACGTGCACCACGTACGTCGGGCCGCGTGCTGCAACGCCGGCTCGCACATGCATCAGCGGTAAAACACGAAAGGGTGCAAGTCTTACCGAAACCATTAATCCCCGTGGAGACGGTCTCTCGCTGACGAAAAACGGGACGGTATGGCCGTCGTGCTGACCCGAGACGCCGGTCGATACTCCCTTCGGAAAAGAAACTTCTTTCTGCTCATCGTTTCCGCTGTTATTTACAGCGTTCACCCCGCCGTCCAGGATAAAACTTGGACCACGACGCGGGTTCCACTTTTAGTCACGTTCTTAAACGTCCACGCGATTTATTTAACGGCGTATTCGGGCTATTTTTATCCCCCCCGGACATCATCTTTATTCTCGGCCGGACGCGGCCATCTGCATCCTTCACGGACGTAATTCTATTCTCTCGCTTCGAACTGTCCAAGTTCCGGGGCAACGGGGTTCGACGGCAGAGATTTTATTTTATGCGCCGCTCGTCGCGGAACTCGCACGGTCCCGTGACTATGCGAGCAGGAAGAAATGTTACAGCGAAACTGAGACGCAAATCGCGAAGTTCCGATCTCGATCATAGTTATCGCACTTCGTTCGGCCCCGTGGCAAAATCGCCACCTCGATCTTTGTCTTAACGTAATGCGGCGCGAGGGTGAGAGGGGTTCTTGTTTTCAGAAATAAAATTAAAGTTTTAACTATTACGTTTTTCTATTTTTCTTTTTTTATTAAGTCTTGACTATCTTTAGTTCTCCGGCATTTCACGAGCGATCAAGCAAATGACTATTTTTAGTCGACCGGCATTTCGCGAGCAGTCAAGAAAATGACTATTTTTAGTCATCCGCTGGGTATTGTGTTAACCTTTGGACGGCGGACATTTTTTAGCATTTATGGCAGCCACGGCTGGATTCATCAAATCTTTACGATTAATTTTCATTTGTATATTATTAAAATCTCTTTGTTCGGACCAGAGTTAATATTTCTATTAGTTTCAATATTAATAGTTGATAATTATATACGACTGTGTCGCATAATTTGAATTTCGATGAAGTGTTTATAACTCTGGGTCCAAATAGACCCGGCGCCCGCCATCCGAGGGTTAACCCAGAAATTATTGAATCCTTCGGACCAAAGTTAATTCTTTTATTAGCTTCAATATTAACAGTTAACCCTCTGCATTCGAGTGGCAACTATGAGACGTCATTAAAAATTGCTATACTATTTTTCTAAATAATTGTAACAGTATCAGATTCGTTTGTATTTTTAAAAAACTGATAAAATTGCAAGTATTGGACTCGCCAAATAGGCTCAATTGCATATGAATAAATATGTTTCGGATTTCGAATTAAAATAGCTTCGACGGCAAAGGGTTAATGATTACATATGACGTCATCCAAGGGCCAACCTACTGTTTTGAAGTCTCCGATAGAAGATCGAGCCGGTCCCTTAAAATTCCGACGATGCAATTATGCCGCCGTTGCACCATTAAACTTCGTGGTTGCGGTTAACAAGCCGCTGATGTAGTTCCGCGTCCTCCCCTGCCCCGCCCCCCCGGTCTTGCTTTCCCCCGCGAGTTTTGTTTCGCCGAAGACGCATGGACCCCTCTTTCTTTGGCCCGAGAAGGAGCCATTCGTTACCGCTTTGAATCACCTTGTACTACAAAAGCGTAAGTTTACGTGCCACGTACGTAATTGGTTCGACCCAGTTGCTAACAATCCCGAGAAGTACCCTAGCCGGCGCTAGCCCTGAGCAATTCCGGTTATTCTTTCTCGTTGGATGGAAGCGAAAGGAACGCGATGCACACGATGAACACCCCCGCCGACCCGCCCGCCAACCTCTGACTCTTTTTCTCCGACCCTATCGGACCCGCGACCCACCTGCCACCCGCCGGTATTCTTCTTTTAAATCCCGGACTAAACTGTAATGAAAGCGAGACGATGATACTGATTGGGCTTCTTCGTAATGAATCTCGACCGGGGCCAAAGAAGACACTGTGGCTGTGTGCGGCACACGATTCGTGTACGAGGATCCCCGACGTCTGCTTTGTTCCATGGAGTTCCTCTAAAAATACAGCAGATTCTCCCTAATTGACGCTCAGATTGTGCACAAAAAATGGATGATTTGGGAAGAAGAGATACGATTATACGAGCCTCGCGGCTCGTTTTTATAGTCACCGATTGTCCGTTTCTGTTTACAAGCCGAGGGCCAATTGGAATTGAAGCATCCTTTGAACTGCGATTACAATTTTGGAAATCAGGTGAAATCGCACGGGGCCAAATCAGGCGAATATGGCGGACGATCGAGCACGCGGACATGATTTCCGGCCAGAAATCGACGATCAATGAGTGACTTGCGAGATGGCGCGTTATCGTGCAACAGTGTCCAACCGTCTGTATCTCGATAATCGGGTCGGATACGACGCGAGGAATTGTCCGAATCCTTTCTCGATTGATGTTCATGGCCGCTTCCATCGTTCTCGGTGAAGCATTGCGGTCATTTGCAATAAAATTACGTGTCCTTTCGATCGTTTCGGGTTTTCGAGTTGAAATTGGCCTTCCCATACGTTGACCATCGTCTAGCGATTCTCTGCTATCCAGAAATCGTTTATGCCACACGAATATATTTGATCGACTCAAACAAGCGTCGCTATACGCTCGCTGCATCAACCGGAATGTTTCCGATACACTTTCACCGAGTCTTGCGTTCAATTCGATAACCGCTTTTTGTTCCATGTACGATTTCAACATGGATTAAAGACTTGGCCAGAAAGAACCATGTACGAAATATGTACGAACATATTCTACTCGACCAACTATAGTAAAAAAAATTGATAATTTAGGAAGAGGAGATACGATCATTCGGCTGCGCGGCTCGTTTTTACAGTTACCGATTGTCAACCACTATAAAAACGAGCCGCGAGACTCGCACAATCGTATCTCCTCTCCTCATTTTAGTTTACAAACTGAAGGACGATTCGAGAGAATTTACCGTATCGTTAATTCATTTCAACAAATTTCCCATCGAAGCGTATGTTTGTTCGATACGATTTTCTTCTTCTGTAACAAATATTGAAAATAGCTCAGCGTATACGTAACGAATAGTTTACTTTCCAAGCAAGCGAACATTAATTTACTGCGACGGTATTTAAGCAGAAAGTTTCGAACACGCCAGGCGAGTAACAAATTGTATGTACACATACCGATCGCAAACAACTATAAAAACGAACCGCATGGCTCGAACAATCGTACCTCCTCTCCCGAAATTCTCCATTTTTGCGCGCAATCCGATCACGAGTTAGGAAGAATTTACTTTTATTTGGTTATTGCAAAAGCAATTTCGGCTCTCCAAACATGCAGAGCTTACGAATAACAACAGATCGGAATTACTTTCGCAACGAACCGATAGGCGAAACATAATTCTCGTTAACGCACAGTTCCCGCCGTTTCGCGGGAGCTTCCGCGGTGATGGATGTTTACTTTGAAATCGAATCGGCGAGCCCGAAGCGCGGAATAATGAAGGAACGTGTCGGCGAAAGACGGTAGCAGTCGCGCTCGTTAACAGAGAATGGGAATCGATGAGAAATGATTTGGCGCTTCATTAAAGCCCTCCTTACGCAATTTATCAAACGAAGGTGGCCTCGCGTAATTTATCACCGCGGCGATCCGGGCTGCTTTTTCATTTGGAGAATGGCACGGTAAATCGCGATGTACATAGAACGGGCCGGAGGTGAATAAATTGAAAATGAAATGGTTTCCGATACTGTCATTGGCACGGGCGAGCGCACGCGCGCGCGCCGGCTAGCCTCTCCGATGAGCTTCGCGGATGATTAATGGCCGTCGACTAAATTACACGGTCCGCAAACTCGCTTCGAATTTAACAAATCGCGGGATACCGGTCGAGGTCCCCGCGATTAATTGTCCACGCCACGGGATCCTCTGTTCTCTATTCGGCCGCGTTCCTAGCGGCTCGGTCGCCGAGCAAGTTGCTGCTTACGATGCACCGTAAGTTTCAAGCCGGTCGCATCAGTCGGTCCCGGGTTACGTCGCCGCATTCGCGGAATCGCGTAACAAGCGTGTTCTCGGATTGTTTAAATTGCCGTCGATACTTTCCTCTCGGAGCCGGATCGCGTATCAAACGACTCCGCGTATGGAAGAAAGTGCAGCGTATTCCGATCTCTTATTACGCGCATAATCAGTCGTCTTCGTCATCCGCGTGTCTCCGTTTCGAGTACGCTTCACAGAGAATACGCTCGCAAAGAAATCGGCGCATCGTGAAACAGTAAATTGCGTGGCGCCAACCCAGTCCCGACGTAACAAGACGAAATCGCTGAGACAAAAGTCGCCGAGACAAAGTGCTGAAACGGAAAGTCGGACGGCGTAACTTGCTTATCGTCTGACCCTCCCCGTACTAATTAATCTCGCGTCCTAAATCCGAGGCTGCGGCCGGGTCGGGAGAAGAAAGAATAAAGGAACTGAGAGGATAGGCGAAAGAAGGGTGGAAAGTAACAGGCGGCGACGGAGCCTGACGTTTCGGACAGCTTTCCCGTCGCTCGGAACGGGGACAGAGAGGCTCCGCGCAGAGCTTTGCGAGGAAATAATCCCAGGACACCTCGTATTTAACCTTGCCTGAGTGTTTTAATCTCGCCGAGAGATAAGCGCGAAGGGACGAACCGGGCGGAGAAAAGATTTCTCCGCGAGTCTCCCCTTGTTCGCCGCGGCATTTTGCTCGGTCGTCGATGCGTTTCCTGGCCACGGAATCGAGGAAACGCGTCAACCGGAACTCTCTGCACGTGCAGCAGCTTCCTTGACACCGGCCTCTGTCGATTAGAAACTCTTTTGTCCCGGTTCCGGGTCGCCATATTCCTTCGGGACGCAACTGTGCCTCGTCTTCGCCGTTCTCGAGATTCCGAAGGTCGCAGCGCATTTGTGTCGCATTGCATCTAAGCGAAATGCAGTAATTTCTTTCGAATTCGCGTTCAGATTGCGCAGAAAAATGGACAATTTGGGAGGAGGAGATACGATTGTTCGAGCCTCGCGGCTCGATTTTATAGCGGTTGACAATCGGTAACTATAATAACGAGCCGCGCAGCCGAATCGTAGCATCTCCTCTTCCTAAATTATTCATTCTTTTTTACTGTAGTAGGTCGGGTAGAATATGTTTTCAAAGTAAACATCCATCACCGCGGATGCTCCCGCGAAACGGTGGGAACTGTGCGTTAACGAGAATTATGTTTCGTCTATCGGTTCGTTGCGAAAGTAATACCGATCTGTTGTTCGTAAGCTCTGCCTGTTTGGAGAGCCGAAATAGCTTTTGCAACAACGAAATAAAAATAAATTCTCCCTAACTCGCGATCATATTGCGCGCAAAAATGGACAATTTCGGGAGAGGAGATACGATTGTTCGAGCCATGTGCGGCTCGTTTTTATAGTTGTTTGCGATCGGTATGTGTACATACAATTTGTTACTCTCCTGGCATGTTCGAAACTTTCTGCTTAAATATCGTCGCAGTAAATTAATGTTCGCTTGCTTGGAAAGTATACTATTCGTCACCTATACGCTGAGCTATTTTCAATATTTGTTACAGAAGAAGAAAGTCGTATCGAACAAACATACGCTTCGATGGGAAATTTGTTGAAATGAATTAACGATACGGTAAATTCTCTCGAATCGTCCTTCAGCTTGTAAACAAAAATGAGGAGAGGAGATACGATTGTTCGAGCCTCGCGGTTCGTTTTTATAGTGATTGACAATCGGTAACTGTAAAAACGAGCCGCGCAGCCGAATGATCGTATCTCCTCTTCCTAAGTTATCAATTTTTTTTACTATAGTAGGTCGAATAGAATATGTTCGTACATGCTTCGTACATGGTTCTTCCTGACCAAGTCTTTAATCCATGTTGAAATCGTACATGGAACAAAAAGCGGTTATCGAATTGAACGCAAGACTCGGTGAAAGTGTATCGGAAACATTCCGGTTGATGCAGCGAGCGTATAGCGACGCTTGTTTGAGTCGATCAAATATATTCGTGTGGCATAAACGATTTCTGGATAGCAGAGAATCGCTAGACGATGGTCAACGTATGGGAAGGCCAATTTCAACTCGAAAACCCGAAACGATCGAAAGGACACGTAATTTTATTGCAAATGACCGCAATGCTTCACCGAGAACGATGGAAGCGGCCATGAACATCAATCGAGAAAGGATTCGGACAATTCCTCGCGTCGTATCCGACCCGATTATCGAGATACAGACGGTTGGACACTGTTGCACGATAACGCGCCATCTCGCAAGTCACTCATTGATCGTCGATTTCTGGCCGGAAATCATGTCCGCGTGCTCGATCGTCCGCCATATTCGCCTGATTTGGCCCCGTGCGATTTCACCCGATTTCCAAAATTGTAATCGAAGTTGAAAGGATGCTTCAATTCCAATTGGCCCTCGGCTTGTAAACAGAAATGGACAATCGGTGACTATAAAAACGAGCCACGAGGCTCGAATAATCGTATCTCCTCTTCTCAAATCGTCCATTTTCGTGCGCAATCTGAGCGCGAAATAGACATTAAAATTGTAATAAAAACTGTACAAGTCTTCCGCATCGATAACAAAACGTCCAACCATGTTCGTGAAAACTTACCATGCTGCAAGTCGGTGCCGTCCATCTAGCTCTACCTGCGCCGTGTGGGCGTGCATTTGACCAGCTTACTTTTTGTTTCAGGAACGAACGGGAGCAACAGGTCAGGAACAAATGGGGGAGCCTGAAGGTCGTTGTCCGAAATTTGTCTCAGCTGCATGGGCATTCCACCGTGAAACGCCACTCGGTGAGTGTCCGACAAACAGTTTAATTAGTTCGTGTCCGTACCGTGAGCTCGGTTTCGTTCCTGCGGCGATGGGAACGAACGTGCCAGCCGGGCCGGAATCGGTCACGTATTCTTCAATTTCCTGCAGCATGATCGTTCTGGTGCACGATCCAGGGACGACGTTAAAATCCGCTCAATTAAGGCCGGAGAAGGTGGCGGCGGTTGATGGAGCGTCTAACGCCGGGAACTATGACTTTATGAAACGAGCCGACCGCTCGATACCGTCTCTGAAAATTTTCGTGAGCGATCGCAAAGGTATCACGACTTCGGAGAAATTATTTCAGCATTATTATTATTCGCATTTCGTCATGCGAAGCTTAACGAAAGTATTCTACTATAACACAGGATGATCGAGCTGCTCGCATTACGGTTCACAAATGTTAATTTTCGCGCACAGTGTTCCGGATACTTTTGCCAAAAGTTTCGCACACCGAACCTAAATAATTTTTAACAACGCAAATTTTCCCGAAGAATCGTCGACTCCAAATTAACGCCGCGCGCGCGAGCGTTCTGCGCGCGTTTCGGCGACCAAGCCAGCGTCTCGGCGATCCGCTCGTTACGAGCCTTGTCAAACTTGCCCCGGCCATAATTAATATTCAAAAGGTTCGCCGGGCTGATAGACGATCCCGCGGAACATGATAAAGAGAGGATATTAAGCGCGACTTACAACGATCGCGGGAACGTTGAAAAATCTGGCCGGCACACGGATCTCTTTGACTAGCGGAGCACGTCCCGCGGCGAACAATCCGTGTTTTCATGCGGCCCGGCCGCAAAAGAGTCCGCCGCAGGCGCTGCTCTTTGAGCACGAGCCAAAGACACGTCTCTTTGCTGGCTTTGCTGGCCCGCAACGGGCACGGGCCCCATTAAGCGATCCCGAATCGATGCTGGCTACTTATTATTCCCGTTAATTGTGTTCCGAGCCGCGAAGCTCCTCTGCCAGACCCTGACCGAGAGCGGAATCGCGAAAAGGCAAAGCCTCGTCGCGTTCGGCTTCCCTCTTTAACGTTTTAGCACGTCGACGTCGACGTCGGCCACGTCGGAGAACGCGCGGCTACCACCGCTGCAAGTTTATTCCGCAAAAACCTGGCGGAAGAAGAGGCTCCTTTGTGCCGGATTTTGTTCTCCGCTGGTCGCGATCAACGTCCAATGTCCGTAATCGGTCTGCACCGACGATTAAAACTGTGCGTGTTTTTATGGGAAATCAACAGTTTTATGATCTCCGGGCGAAGCAGAAATTGTCCGTCTGGATCGCGGAGAGACATTTCATCGCGCCGTTGGCCGTCGCGTTTCGATACTTTAAACGACTCGCAGAGGTATTTGCGACATCACCTCGACGATGCTCGAGCGTTCAGGATTTTTCTCTCCGGGAAAAATACGGCACGACCATCGTCGGAGACCATCGGTCGGAGAATTTCTGGAAGGGTGCTTATCGGCCCGAGTCCGGTGTCAATTCGTTTGATCGAGCGGCCACCGCGCGAGATACCGCCGACTATTTTCGTAGACGCGTTTACACGTTCGTCGGATGATGTATCGCGAACGCTATGACCGCGGTTACTGGATTGGATATTGGCCGTTGTTCCTGTAAAATGGAGTATATAATACGTTCCGTGTGGCAGGAAGTCGAAATGCGTTGATAGATCGCGCGGCTCGAACGAAAATGCACCGGACGGCGTGTCGTCCCGAAATTGGGAATTGTTAACATCGTATTCCGTTTTCCTTCGTCGATCTTAGGTCGACGAAGACGAGCCTAACTCTTTGCACTCGAAGCCGAATTAAAGCAAAATTTGAAATAGCTTTCTACGGTTTTTCCCACGGTTTTTCCATTTTATACGATCTGATGCATTTTATGCATACGAACTCGAATATTGTGCAACCATGCAACAGTTAGGCCTTCAACAGCTCTTTAAGTACAAACGAATTTGCTCGATAACATTATTTTGAGTCGTGACAACGATTTTTAATGGCGCCTCGGAGTCGCCACTCGAGGTTAAAGGGTCTTAATTCCGACAATTCCGCTCCGAAGCTCGCACAAAGTTGGCTCGAAACAACTGTATAAATAGTGTCTAACGTCTTCGAGCCGTTCGAATGAAAAATTACGTCGCATCCTCCGTTCCAGTTGCATCGTTGTTAAAGCCATTATTTCCGTCGCAGCGAGAAGAAAATTGCAGCGGAAAGAGATTCACGATTTTACGACTGTTCCATTGTCTCTCTTTCCACGCTCTCCTCCCATTGTCATCGTCTAGACCAACGACCGGCACAGCCAATTCTCACGGAACAATATTGTATTTCGCTGTGAAAATCTCGCCGGTTTTTTTGTCTCGCAAGAGCGAACCCCGCGGGTACGCTGTTTAGCTAAACCGTGACCAACGAGACTTCTAATTCGATCCGCGCACCGAAACAGGATCTCCGGCACAAAGACCGAACTAAAGCTAAAATCCTGTAAAGCAATTCGCCGGCAAACTCGTTCGCACCTCCAATTTGATCTTCCGTTTACCCAGTCGGCGATCTCCGCTCGTCGTTTACGAAAGCAGCGGAAACTCTGATCGAAGGAAAGAACCGCCGCGCTGCTCCTTGCCGCTGTCGATGCTCGTCCCCGCGTGTTTCCGAACCCCCCTCCAACCCCCGTTTCGCGACCGACACTGTACACACGAACAACTTGCCGAAGATTAACGCTGGTGGCGGCTCTTATCTCGCCGAGCGATCCGGAACACGGATTTATTGTTTCCAGCCGTTGACGAGCGTCGCTCGCCTCGCCTCGCCTCGCCCCCGACTCGTATCGTATCGACTCGACGCCGGCTGCAAATCCGCTTGGGATCGCGTCGATTTTTCCGCGGGTCTGAACGATGCTCGACAACGTAAATACGCCGAGGTACCGGCGCGCCGGGGGTTGCGGAGAATCATTAAATCCGTCGGCCGGGAAACACGGCGAAAGGTTGCTTTTGCGAAGATGCGTTCGAGCGTCGTCAGTTTCACCCACGCTTGTGTTCTTTTTTTTCGGGGACCAGAAGTAGAGGAGGGCTGGATGACGGGGGTGGGTCGCGGCCGGACAATGGAAACACGGATCGATGAAGGAATTAATGGCCGTTCTCCTTTAATACGAAACTCTCGTCTCCGTTTCGCCCGGCCCTTCTCTCTTGCGCACCCTTTTTCTCACACCTTCGCAACTTCTCTTTCTCTCTCTCGATGTCGATCTTTCTCTCCTCCTCTCGATCTCTCTCTGACTACATCCACCCACTGACAGCACTCCAGCGGCGTTCCGGCCACGCTCAACCATTTTCTCCCTTTTGTTCTCGCATCGTTTCTCCATCCACGCCAACCCCCCCCCACCCCCTTTTTCGGTACACGCCGGCTGTTCCGTTTCAACGATTTTTATTTCCAGGCCCCTCCGCGGATTCAATCTGTGCGAGCACCGTGCTGCTTATCGCTTCCTCTCTTTGTCTTTCTCTTGTTCTCTTTCCCCCTCTGTATCATCCCCCGTCTTTCGCTCGACGGAATTTCAACACCGCGGCCGATCGCGTCGACGAACAACGCTCCGCGCACCGTTTTGTCCGCGGCTAACTGTCCGCGAACGAGCGAACGCTGTTTTTTCCGGGTGTCCCGCGCCGCGAACGAGTTGCAAATCGGCCCGCACGACGCCCGGACGCGTCCACGGATTTATTAGATGGGATCGAGCGTCGAACACCCTTCGCGCGGCTGACTTGCGAACGCCTGTCGCTCTTCGTGACGATACGAGGCATCGGGTTTGCCCGGCGGAATTCGATTTCGCAGGCAGCGTGGTCGGCGAACGATATAGTAAATTCTCCACGATTGTCCCTGAAGCTTGCTAAACAATAATGGTCAATTTGGGGAGAGGGAATGCAATTATTCGAGAGCCCGGTGCCTCGTTTTTATAGTCTTCGATAATCGGCAGCTATAAGAACGCGCCACGTGGCTCGAATAATCGTGTCTGGTTTGCCCGGTTTGTCCATTTTTGGTTCACGAGCCGAGGGGCGATTGGGGAGAATTTGCCGCGTGCGTTCGACCGTCGGAACGACGCGGAATCGGGACAGCGTCTTCTGCGATTCGTAGACCGTGGATATTTCTGATTTCGTAGAAAGTGAAGCAAAGGAGAAAGCTCTTCCGGCCGAGTTCAGGATTCCCCGCGGTATTATTCATACTCCTTAAGCACGGTTTAAGATCTCCACCGCGAGACAGAAGTTGAGAGCGCAGCTTGTCGGGAAGTTACAGAAAGCTTCGCGTTTCTGAATTATTTCGACTGGCGCGAAGACGCGAAACGCGTTTCAACTTCGCGGAAGTGCCCGCGTTCTTTATTCATCGGACGGCAGAAAAATAGTCGACTTCTGGACAGGAGGATCGTCCTGTGGATCATCGGTGGAATTTGCGGTATGCAATAGCGCTTTCCATAGTTTCCTATGGAACTCGGTTCTTTTTGGCACAATTTTCCTATCGTTTTACTGCGCCGGAACGAACCGCAAAAGTCTTTTGACCAGGTCAAAAATCGCGCTAGAAACGATTAGGATGTTCTGCTTGAGACGATTCGTTGGTTCACAAGTCAAATTGTCATTGTTGTAGGGGAATTGTTTGCGTCGCTTGTCGACCTTTTTAACACTAGATTTACGGAACCCGTCAAAATGACGGGCCACTAAATTTTTGAGTTAGGATTATTCATGTCGTAAAGATACATTTCTGAGTTATTTATTCAATACGTTACTTACGGCAAATGTTACAATAACACTTGTTAAAAATCGGAATAAGTGTCTTATTGTTACTTTTATAAATTAATATAAAACAGCTGTATTTGTGCTCCGTAAATCTAGTGGTAATTAAACACTTTTCGATCCGTCTCCGATGATTCGTTAAAGTCGAACGGACTTTGTATACTTTATTATTATTTATATATTATGTTATTTATGCTTTAACTATTTGGGGCACAGGATTTCAGAGAATAAAATAGAGCCACG